CGTCGTTGCCATCCGTCGTTGCCATCCGTCGTTGCCATCCGTCGTTGCCATCCGTCGTTGGCGTCGCCATTGCGGTCGTCGTCGCCGATGTTCATGGCTGGCGATGGGGTGTTGTGGCTGGGCGACGGGGTGTTGCGGCTGGCGATGGGTGTTGTGGCTAGCGGGTGTCTTGGCTGGCGGCTGGCATCGCCTCGACGCGCTGGCTCCTCCTAATTCTTCTTCTTTCTCGGCTGCTTCGGGCTCTTCTTCTTGCCCTGGGCAGCCTGTCCCTTACCTTCCTGGGCCTTTCTTTCCTCCTCGAGAGCCTTGCGTTTGGCTCTTCCTTCGCGCTTCGCGGCTTCGTTGCATCCCACACTATAAGAGAAATGATGATTAGTCGGACTGTCGATGCAAAGAAGGGATTGCTGAGAGGATCGTAAGGGTAAGGAGATGGGACGGCGGATAAGAGATGAGATCTCGTCGCCAGGAAGCCTTGAATAAGGGACGGCGAGAGACGTCCCGCGATGGACCCGGCATGGGAGAGTACCGGAAGGCCCAAGTATTCGCCCCGAGAGGGCATGTTGCCTGCTGGAACATGCTTCCGTGTGGGGATTATATCGCGCCCTGACTATGGCTTTTTGGCCTGCCATGACTTTTGCTTCTCCATCGGTGATTGTGGGATGTCCCGGACAGGGCAGAGTTGTGGGCGAGCAGCAAGTATCTCAATCCTCAGCGGCTCGCCTCGTCGGCTTAGACAGGAAACAAACTTGAACGACACTCCCTGGTCCAACAGAAAGAAAGAATGAAGCCTTGAACTTACCACGGTGAGTATGGGGTGTGGTATGTTCTGTGTACTTCGCAACAGACCATGTGACCGCGTGCGAAGCAGCGAGGTTTGGCGATTGCACCACACGCCGGGCTGTCAAAGGCATTAGCCAAGAGTGTTGCAAAGCAGCCAAGGGTTTGTCGTTGACAACTCACCAGTGGTGCTGTGTGGTTCTCTTTCCAGCCGGCATTGCGCTTTATCACAGGGCGAGTCGGCGGAAAGGAAGCTGCCGGGACGTCAGCACGCTGCAGGATATCACGCGAAGAGTTCTAATGTTTACTCTTGATAATTCGTCGACTGGTTGAAAGTCAACGGGAAGAAGTGGAAGACAGAAGACACAGATTGGTTGTCTTTGTGGTCGGTCTTGTTGGAAAGTGAATCGGTTGATATTCTACGTGACTCGAGACTTGGTCGGCACTTTCACGAGAATGTTTTGAGGTTTGGGAAGGAATCAACAGAACTGTATTATGCAAGAGCTTTAATATCGACTTGAGATGCAAGTTGCGACTAACGCGTACTATACGCTGCAGGTTGTTGACGCGGTCTCTGAGCAACACTGCAAGCTGGGCTCTTGATGTATACTTCGGACCAGAGTCTAGCGCCAATGCCTCGATTCGCGTCTCTCTGACCAAAAGACATAACCATTTTCCTCTGATGAAATTCCTGCAACAAGCCGGACTCCACGCATCAACCCGCATGAGGCTGCCTCCATCCGCCGACTTCGTGGATGTCAGCTAAGCTCGGGGCACTGGGCTGTTACATGGTTGCCACCTTGTCTGAAATCTCGGGCTTCATCGTTTTCAACATAGTGTAGCTGCAAGCTGACGTCTTGTGTGCTCGAGCCCTTGCCGGATTAAAGGCTGAGGGGAAGCAACACTAAGCTTAGCTTCAAACAGGTTTCATTATATAATGCTACATTATTCACTTCTCTCGAACGACATTATTATGACAGTTCCGAGTCTCGCTCTGAACCCTTCTTTTCGAGTAGAGAAAGACCATGGTTAGGTACTAGGGGCTCAAACCGATGTCGGATCAAAATAGACAGTTAGCCCTGGCAAGCAACTTGTAACCGTTGGATTCTGGGGCTTGCCACGGCCCAGTAAAGGTTCAAGAAAGTCGGACCGTAGTCTCTGATCCAACAGATCTGGATTTCCAAAGAAAAGTCTAGAGCCGGTTCTTACTCCATCTCAGTAGTTGTTGAAGGCCTCTGAGTCCATGAACAACTGGCAGGTGGCATTCCTCCAGAGATTCAAATTTCACCCAGAAGCCCTAGTACTAGTACTCAAAATTGAATCAAGAGAACTGCATATATTCAAGCCAGTCATTCAGAATACCCTGAGTGACCAGACTTAAATCAAGAGAGATTTGCTAGTTTAATGCGTTCCACACAGTCAACACTGAATCTCACCGCAACCACCAATCCGGTAGAAAAGCCTCAATAGTTTGTGTTGGTGATCAAGATGGGCACCATATCGAGTCACCGTGTTCTTCACACGTTTGGTCGTGGTTCACAACTTGAAAACAAGCCAATTCCGCGTGGTACAAGTATTTCGGGAGAGAAGGCAGACTTTCAACCGAAAAAAAGTAATTACCTGCAGCCTACATTTATTATTCCCTGCCAGCAAACCATTTTGGCGTTCAAATTTCATTCAAAGCATCTGGTCATCCAAGCCCTCAGCCCTTTTATGGACTCACAAGGCTCTACTTAATAATCCAGGTACAAGGGACAACGCTCGGAATTCACACAATGCTAGCATACCCTGCACACTTTGGCTAACACAACAATGCTGTAGAACAGGACATAGTCGGGGAGCATGATTACTGAAGTAGCTCCTTCCATTAATATTGTTCCAATAAGGTAGGATTGGGATGCTCGGAGACCCGATAGGAAATCATAGCCTTTTCCCTCAAGAACGATCGGTCGATTAGCGGCTGATTCCAACGTGGCCAAGCACCCAGGTTTGCCAATGAGACCACGATACGATTCCCATTCCACTACAAGTCAACCTTCATAACTATTTCTCTGATCGCGAGGAGTCAGAGGGTGCACGAACGGCTACCTTCGGGCATGTGATGTGGGACACGGTGTAGCCTTGAAATCGGTCGCGTGGCTGTGCTACTCGGATGCGTGGTACGTCATCGCTTTGCACCTTGCAGCCAAAGGACCTCTAGCTTAAATGCACCTTCAAGCGGCCACGAACCTTAGACTCAAGCGTATGCTTCATTCGCATTTCAACCGCGCATTACGCTTATCCAGCAGACCACAACAGATTCTTAACATTACGACATCTCGATTTCAACAGCACGCGTCCAAGATGCCTCTCGTCGTTCCCGGAGTGACGGCCGATAACATGGGCGACGATAAGACACAAGAGTGGATGAACAAGCTTGTCGGCAAGAAGCTGTCAGAGGAGCCTTCTTCTGAGACTGTAAGCCAGGCAGCTCACTCTCCTCATTGCAAGGCTGGTGGTGCTGACAGTCTCTGCCAGACCTTCTGCAAGACCGAACTTCCCCAAGAGACGCGTGTTATCGAACCGGGCATGATGGTCACTAAGGATTTCAAGCCCGACAGGCTCAACGTCCATGTCAACGATGATGGGACCGTTTCCCATGTGACGCACGGTTGAGAGTGGGAGTGTTGGGCAAGTGAGAGGAGAAACGGTCTGGCCTGCAGCAGTTCCATGTTCAATAGACTTCTGATACCATGCTCTACCGCTTCCGTTAGGTGCTCTATCGCAAACGCTTGATCATCTCTGCTTTTGGTGGCTCATGGGTGACGACATGCTGTGGCTGGAAGCTGTATCAATTAAAGAACCCCACAAACGCTTGGCAACGAACCCCTCCATCACAATCGCGGGGCAACACAAAGCATTGCATAGAGAGCAACCAAGTCGCATGTAGCAACGAAATTTACAACAACTCAACATAGATTAAAGGATATTGCAGCGACCACAGGAGCAGCTCTCTGCCCACCCCAATATACAAGATGTTCAAGAAAGAGTATACACCCCCTCCATCCACGGCCCAATATCCCCAGCAACCCAAGCTAACTCAACCCCCCCTCCCCCCCGCCCTAAAACAACAGCCTCCACGGCTCCCCAAAACAAAAACTCAAATCCTCGATCCAGCGCTCCATCCGACAGTCCATCTTGACAACCTACCCGCTGCTGACGCCGCACATCGACGAGATCCTCCCCAAGAAGTCGTCCCTCGAACTGATTAAGCTGCCCGAGCGCGTCTCGCTCTACGTGATCGACGGCCGCCCGGTCGTCTACCAGCAGGACAACAACGGCGTGCTGCTGCCGCACCTGCGCCTCGTTCACCGCTTTCCGCACTGCTTCCCAACGGTGCGCATCGACCGCGGCGCCATCCGCTTCGTGCTCAGCGGTGCCACCCTCATGGCGCCCGGGTTGACGAGCAAAGGCGGGCGGCTGCCCATTCCGGTTGATCGGGATGCTCAGGCGGCTGCGGCTGGTGGTGCTTCTGGTGACAGTAAGGATAAGAAGGAGAAGGAGGAGGCTGCGGTGAAAGAGGAGGGAGGGGAGGACGACGAAGAGGAGGATGGGGTGAAGGTGCCGAATGAAGGCGCGGACGAGGACGGGCATTGGAGCAGGGAGCTGGAGAAGGGAGAGCCGGTTGTGGTCATGGCTGAGGGCAAGAAGGAGGCTTGCGCTGTGGGGCTATTGGTCATGGGGACCAAGGAGATCAAGGAGAAGGGGAAGGGGCCGGTCATGGAGGAGGCGCATTTTCTGGGAGATGGTCTTTGGCGGCTGAGCGTGGAGTAGGGTGTTCCTGAGCTTTGGTTACAGAGTCGGGGGTCGTTCAGCAGTTCCGTAACGGTGTGGCAACCGTGTACATATATATGTAAGCGGTTCGCCGTGAAAATGTGTATTGCCTTTCGCTGGCCCTGTCGCAAGCCGCCTGTCGCCAGGGCTGTCATGAGATACTGGTCCATGAGTAAGATCCGTTTAAGAACTCCTGTCATCAATCGAACAGTCAAAGTTTCCCCCGCAGCCAAGATCTTAGGCTTTCTGGGGCCAACCATAGCGATTAACCATAGCGATTTGACCACGGAACATCTGGTCTTACAGTCCATGCTTTCCATCATCATGGTTGAGTCTCGATGTCTCCAAGCGGTGATGCTCAGGGCACCCCAGCAAGGATCACTTCCGGCAGTTTACCTTGAAGAACAACGTCCGGCCGTCCGAGGGCCAAAAATGAATCCCAAATGTGACACACTGCAAAGTAATCGACAACGAGCGGATTCGAACCGCTGCGGCCGAAGCCATACGCTTTCGAGGCGTACCCATTAACCACTCTGGCACGTTGCCTTGACAGGGATGTTGAAGCTTTTACGGAGTACACTAGATGTTGTGATTCTGGGGAGATCATGCTAAGCCAGGGTTAGGGTCGATATGGGCTGACGGAATGCCTGTATCCGTACTCTGTAATCCGTACCTGCCACAGTAGATGATGACGCAGCTTGTATGGGGCTACGCTAGGCGCCCAAGCTCCGGCGCCAAGCCACTTCACCCGGCCCCTCCTCCCCGACCGCAACCGTTCAATCACCCTTGACTGCCATCTACACACAGTCGCCCTGACAGGTCGATATCCATCTCGCTTTCCGTTCTCTCAACGCCTGCGTGAATCATCGGTCGTGTGGACAGACGATTGCAACCATGGCTGCGAGGGGCGTTTCGGTGCTCAAATTTGTCGGTACTGTGTCGCTCGGTGTCCTGACGGTACGTCTACTGTCTAGAGCTACACACAGTTCCCCGCGTCACTTGTCGCAGAATGATGCTGTCTCATCTACCCACAACCTCTTGGCGGAGAACTAACCAACTGTCCCAGGGCGTCTCCTACGCGCTGTCCTCCCTCACCATCCCCGCGCTCCTGACTCTTCCCTCCGCCAGCACCGCCGCCCGCGCCTTCGACGCCCTGACCACCACGGCAGCGCGCCACCTCCGCTCGCTCGCTGCCGTCTCCTCCTCGGCCTTCGCCCTCGCCTACGTCCTCTCCCCGCGCCCGCTCCGCCACCCCTACCTGCTCTACGCCTCGGCCCTCGTCCTCGGCTCGCACTTTGCCGCCTCCGACCTCCTCGCGCCGTACCTCCTCGCCCTCGGCCCGGCGCGTCCTTCTCCGGCGGCTGCCACCACCGCCACCACGAGCAAGGACAAGCAGAAGGAGAAGGAGGGGCGCGCTGCGGCGGCCAGGGCGCGGATGGAGGCCAGCTACGAGGTGCTGGGCACCGGTATCGGGTCGGATGCGCACAGCGAGGGCAGCGCTACCGGGGAGGAGATGGAGGGTAGTGAGGAAGCGGCTGATGTCAATGGCGAGGAGGTGAGGGCCGAAGTTGAGGCGTTCCTCAAGAAGCAGATTGTTCGAAGCGCGCTGGCTGGGCTGGGTTTCCTGCTCTCGGTTGTGGGAATCTGGGGCGATGGCGTGCCGCCGGTTATTGGTGATGCCGTGATTATTGAGGTCTAGGTGGGATTTTGGACGGGTTAAGGGAGAGGTGGGGAAACTACACATATGACAGACGACGGGGTGTTGCGGAGCTTGATTTTTATTTGAGAGAAACTCTAACCCCCCTCGTCTTGCGCAAAGACCTCGGAACACTGGTTTTTTTCCTCATTAGAAATTGTATCTATCAGAATCGTTGGAGTTGGTATTTAACTCTTTTCTCTAGGTCGCAGACATTGTCTATTGTGTTGGCGAGTGTGCTCTGAGCTCTATTTTGAACGCCGTTTCCATCTGTTGATCAACACTACTGCGCATTCTGGAAGGCAGTCATTGATATCTGCCAGAGCATCCCGGTTTGGAAGCAGCAAGGCGGCCGCTCAGCACGCCGAAGTGCTGAGATTGCCGGGTGTCCCTCTCTCCTTCCCCAATATGGCAGCTTTGGTTCTGGTAAGAAGCCCTCTACTTGGTCATGAACGTCTCGCTCACCATGCCGTCAGCTCCGCCCAACATGCTCGGCTTGTTGATTTCACTCCCTCTCGCCTCCAGCCACGAGGTCGCCATCAGTCTTTCGTTTGTTACGGTTCACCAATTCAGGGCATACATTACTGAAACACCTTCCTTGAAGTCATAGCATTGACTGTAAATCGGGCCATTCCCGAGTTCCTTGGTCACTCACTCGGCGGATCGTCTTCTCAATACCTGTATTGCTTCATCCTCCGCGAGCTCGGAAGAACAGCACCCACCGACATGGCCAAAGGTAAATGGCGCGAACGGTTTCGAAAGGTCCGTGACCGTGTTCTGGGCCGTCGGGACGCTGCTCCCTCCGCAGCAAACCCCGGTATCCCGTCTCCATCGGCACCCGAGCTGTTCTCCCCCACCGCACCGTCTAGCAGGAATCCTCCGGCGGCACTCCAGCCGTCCTCCCTTGCCGCGCTGTATCACAGGAACAACCCTACGGTCTTCCAGGTCGGTCCCAACCAACCGGTGTACTACTTCCCACCCGCCCACTTGCAAACCCCCCACCACCCGATCTCGGGACAGAATCCAGCCCCGTTCGATGCCAGCATGCCTGTCATACCATCGGCAAGCCTACCCCGCCACCGGCCGCCCGCAAGACCCCTCAACCACACGTCCCGCGGCCGCCGAGGGACAGGAAGGTGGATGCCATCCAACTCCGCGGCGGCTTCCTCCTCCTCATTAAGGCCACAAGCGCACTCAGCCACCCTGGCGCAACTGACAAGTCCTCCACAACCACCTCCGCCGCCGCCGCCGCCCCCCCCGCCATTGTTAGCACAACAACAGGGCATAACGCATTTGCCATCAACCCCAGCCGCTACGGCGCCACCGTCTCTATCTCGCCGCCCGCATGTTCGTTTTGGTGGTCTTGGTCGCGGTCGCGATAATGGGAGTGGTAGTAGCCGCAGCCACAACAGGGGACGTGGTGGTAGTGGTAGTGGTGGCCGGCCCATGATCTCGTATCCTTCGCCCCCCTTTCAGGCTTCTACCGGACCGGGATTCGGACCCGGGCTGTCAAATCATCCCCAGGGCCCGTCTTCTTCTTCTTCTGCCGCCGCTCCTCCTTCTTTCAAGTAGTGCTGTCGGGCCTGTGAGGTGAGTACAGGTGGTGGAAATGGAGAGGGTGGTGGGGAAGATCACGGGGCTAAGGGGAGAGGTGAGGACGGGGGTCTGGGCGGAGAGAAGCCTGATTCAGATTGTATGGATTGGGCCTGGCTTAGAGGAGGTTGTCAAGATCCGGCCGGGGAAGAACAAAGGCACAGCCGCTGGAGAAGGTGGATCAGTTGGCGGCGGCGGTCTTTGAAGTCCGGGGGGAGGAGTCCGCAGAGCTGGACACCTACACTGTCGTCGGCTTTTGGGTAGGGTTTCCCTGGGGGTTACATTCGGGAAAGAAAGGACGAGAGTTGATCATAGCAGTGTGTGAGAGAGGACGCTGGTTCTGGTTTCAGGGAATGTTATGTCGTTTTCGGTGAGCATTTTGTGTTTCAGGGGTAGCTCTTAGCGGTTTGTGGTTCGCAATGATAAGGGTGCAACGACCTCACTCTCCGCCTCGTCAAACTCTCCATGGTTCTTGCTGTGCCCCTCTGGTTCATGTTGTTGACCGTCTCCATGCCTATACTTCTGGCTGTAAGTTTGTGCACCAGTTGCCGTTTCGAGGACAGCAAACCGTCTGGCTCGGTAGTATCCAAGCGACAATAAAAGATTTTAGACCGGGAGGAACGAATAAGAACAGAACGAAGGGGAGCGCTAAAAGGAAACAGAGACTCGACAATGAGCTTGCGGATACGAATTAATGCAGTCGAGGGATACGCTTCAACGTTGCCATTGATTGATTTCGCAGGTTGTGATAACAGGGAGTTTGGAGTAACTAGTGGACTTTGCCAATATTGCAGTACAAACGTTAGGGGTCCTGCACCGAAGAGAGTGGGAGTAGTATGACTTTGTGATGGAGAGGCAGCAGAACTTTCGTAAAGGGCAAGAAGCGGAGAAGTCATGCTGAGCGTCCTGTGTAAATTCCAATGTAGGCTAAATACCTTTGGGAACCTCAGCGTTGCGTCGTCAGAGGTGAGAATAATCAGGACTGGTAGCGAGGCAAGTGGGCAGTTTCGCCCCCCGTAATGGTTTTATATGTGTACGTAGTTTTTAGTTAACAAGCAAGAACGGCAAGATGGCCGAGCGGTCTAAGGCGCTGTCTTCAGGTTTAAATCTGGTCTGGCAGTCCGAAAGGGCGTGGGTTCGAATCCCACTCTTGTCATTTAATTTTGCCGATTCAATCGCCTAATGATCTTTTACAGTTTGTGTGAGTTCCTGTTAAAATCAGTAGTTCATGGCTTGCTTCGACTGAATTTGGTTCACCTTCCTAGGCTGCTATTTTGTGGCCATCAGCTTGAACCCCTGGAATCTCCCAGAACATGCAGGGAGGCAAGTACAAGGCTTGCAGTCCAGACACAAGTCAACCACAGTCCTGGCTGAGCTGGTTTCTGCCCACTCAGCCTCCTTTCCTCGGAAGTGAATACGAGCATCGACCAGTGTTTGCAGTCAAGACTCCACAAACGTCAACCGTGTTTGGCTGCCGGTACCTCACTTACACGCTTCTCCAACCTTCGGTCATGCGCGCCGCTGGTGAGCACCAGGTGAGCAGCCGAAAATTTGGCCCCCACCTGTTTTGCTCAAGCTCGCCGGGCATTAGTAACATGAGCGGATGGTGTCATGCTGTCGGATGAACCTGGGGGCCGACGGCTCGCTCCTCGGACACTTGATAATGTGAGTGCGGGACCGCCGGTTGCCGGCGACGACATTGTTAAATCGGAATAAGTGCAGTGGAAAGGAATCGAGTCACCAGTACAGCTGTGCTCAAAAACCGACTTCATTCAACAGTAGCACGCCATGGTCAAGATAGCCGTTGCCGGCCCCGGACGTGAGTTGAGGTGTCCATCCATGGAGAGTTGCGCGTCCGCTAACATGTTCACCCCCAGACGTCGCCTCCGAGATCATCGACGGCCTGTTTGCCACTGGCAGGCATGAAATTGTCATCCTCTCTCGTCAAGCAAGCCACAGAGACCGCTCCATCCCTCGCCAGAGTACTACTACATTCAATCCACGCTGACAGCGTGGCCACCTGCAGTGACAACACCGACCACTTCGGATGGTATGACAACAAGCTGAGTCCGGAAGTACCTGGCGGATAAGAGCAAGGATGGCAAGGTAAGCTGCGCATGCAACCCATGGACCCGGGCTGCTCCTCATGCATCTTCTTCGTTACAGGTTCTCGAGTATTCGCTCTTCCAGCCCGGCTAGTTTCTCAACTATATCGCCGGCAGCCGCCAGACAGCCAAGCATTTACGGTCTACCAATCTGCTGTACGTCGACCATGGCAATGGCACTGCTGTCGTTGCCGGCAACATGACCGAAAAGTACAGCCTCACGGCAATCGCGGACCTGGTCAACATTGTTGTCAAGGCCGTCGAGGACGAGGGGGAATGGCCCAAGATTGGCGGCATCAACGGCAACACCCTCTTCTTTGCCGACGAGACAGCAATCGGTGAGGAAATCAAGGGTAAGTAAAAAAGCACAAGTTTACTAAGGATGACAATTCGTGGCCCTGACTCGGTCAAATACACGAGCAAAGCATACGAGGTCGAGAAATGGATCGCGAAGATCTCAAAGCCGGCGTCATCAAGACCTCTTGGCCACCCGGCCTTGACCACTTCTCTCTGTCCGAGGCTGAGAAAGAGCCAATCTCCAGACCGATTCTCTGCGGCATGTTGCTCAACATGACGAGCTGAAACGCGTATATGTCGGACGAGTTTCTGTTCGCGTGTTTTCACAAACGAGAAATCCAGATGATGTCGTTTGTTTCGAGGCGGTTGGTGACGCGGCCCTGCTGTGTAGGTTGCCAGGGGGCGGGTGGAGTTGATGAAGAGGGAGGGGAGGGAGGTTGTTGCAGGGCGGTGGGTGGTGGTGGCCTGGGGTTGTGGTGGAAGGGGACATGGTCATGTTCTCGGAACCGCCCCGGGGGTTGGTGGTATGAATGTGATGTGCATGGTGTGGAAGTTTGTTGTTTAGGCAGTCAGTGGTGAATAGTTTGCGTTTCGAGAGTGCAAAGTGTAATCCGTATAACGCAATCCAACCCTAGTTTGCTCACTAGCGTGACATATGGCGGGCCACTGAAATGGGATAGAGAAAAAAAGATAGTTAAAATACTAAAATGAAGATAAAAGGAGGAAAAGGAGAAAGATAAAGATAGAGAGGAATACGATAAAAAAGGAAGAAGGAAAAAGAAAAACGAAAGGAAGTAAGGATAATAGAATATCAAAATGAAAAAGTACAAGGAGGGAAACGCCCCCTATTCCACCCCCGTCAAACACAACCTGCCATTCTGCGTCGGCAACCCCCTCTCCTCCACCACCCTCCACCTCTCACTTCCGGGCGTCGTAACAGCCCAAAACAGCCCCCACGGATCCCTCTCCCTCTTTACCCTCACCAATTTCACATACCGCTCCCCAAAAAAAGTCCGCTGCCACTCCGGCTCCAGCACATCCGCCTCATTGACATACGCTCCTCCCCGCGGCGTCACCCCCCGAATCCCATCCATGACATTCTCCAACATCTTATGCCTCTCATAAAATTCGTCCGCCGTCATCTGCGCCATGGTGCCGCCGCCAAGCGCCCGAAACCCGTCATCAAAGACATCGGCGTGCATGATGGCTTCCCGCCAGTGCTGCGCGATCGAATTGTGTGTGCCGGGGTATCCGGCCACGGACAACGGGGTCCAGAAATTGACGCCGTGAAAGGTAAACCCGCCGTCCTCGACCGTCGCGCGGATGGCGGCGAAGGTGGCGTTGTAGATGGTGGCATTATCCCAGTTGGCGCGCGGGAACAGGCGCGAGGCGAAGTAGGTGTTTCCCGGTCCCGCGCCGGTTCCCGTCCGGGGGGGTTGGGCGGATGAGTTGTTGGGGACGGTGGCGGGCGGGATGGTCAGGTTGACGGGGATGCCGAGGTCGGTGGCGAGGCGGGTGTAGAGCGGGGAGAGCAGGGTTGAGATTTGTGCGGGGGACAGGTGTGGGAGTTCGAAGCGGACGTCAAAGGTGTAGCTTGTGTTGGACTGCTTGCGCACGTAGCTGTAGTGCGTCCCACCCACGTCGCAGATCTCTCGGGCGAAGGACTGGTAGAGCCAGACACCAGCCCAGAAGGTTTCGATGTCGTGTATGGTAGGCAGGGTGTTGGTGGTGTTGGAGGGCGGCCGGACGTGGAACTCCAGTTTGAACGTCGTGACTGGAGTGGGAGGGTACACCCTGACGATGGCTGAAGTCAGGACCCCATATGTTCCTGCTCCATGTCAGTCGTGCCCTTTTTCCCCTGTCCTCGTCGCCCCTTAGGTACTCACCTCCGCCACCACCGAGCATCGCAAAGAACAAATCCGCGTTCTTGTCCGGCGTGACACTGCGATATCTCCCATCCGCAGTCACCACCTGAAATGAGAGAATAGAATCCGCTCCGTGGCCGTACACGGAACTGAGCGCGTGGTGCCCTCCCCCGGCAATCCAGCCTCCATAAGCACCCACTGTCTCCCCGCCGGGAACGCCCGTGGTGAAGCCATACTTGTTCATGTAATTCTTCAACTCCCACGTCTCGATGCCTGCGCTGACACGCACCACACGCCCTGTGTAAGGGCCGACAGTGTGCCGAGGGAGATACTCAAAGTCCTTCAAGTGGTGTGTCCAGATGCTGAGCGCCCCGAAGCCAGTTGACCTGCCGTTGAAGTCGTGACCTGCGTTTCTGAATCACATTCAATATCTATCCCTTCAAAAATGATAATGGCAAGGTACCTAGTAAAGTAAGACTTACTTGACGAGCAACCGCAAGTGCCTGTTCCGTGCAAAGTTGACGGCCAGCTGAATATGTCTCACCGTCGTGGCATTGACGACGTAGACCGGATAACCCCCCTGGGTGCAATTCCCGATCACCGGAAACCGGGACACGGAACAGGTGCTACCCTGGGGCCATTCGGTCAGCACGGTCAGAGGGTCGTCGCTGTAGAACCTGCTTGTTCTCGCCCAGGTGAGGAGGTAGTTGCACTTTTCGGCGTCTTGGTGGGGACCCGGGTAGCACGACGCGCCAGGCGGGACAGGCTTGAGCAGCACGCCTCCTAGGGTACGGTTAAATCTGTCCCAATCCTCGGTTGAAGGCCAGCCGGCATCGCCAGGTGCGACTTTGCATCTGGGGCCGGTGTATTTCGCTCCTTTGGCTTTGCCGAATGCAATATCTGGGTAGTTGGAGGTTTCTTTTTCTGTCACCTGTACTTCTTCCCAGGGGAAATTAGAGCAGAATGCTGCTGGCACGAGGCAAAGGAGGAAGGTTAGCCAACGCATTTTGGATGTCTTGCTGTACAGTCGGCAGGGTACGGACTCAGTGATTTGAAGCTTTCCGGGGTTAGTGTGATCACAGTGGGAAGTACTCAGGCCGTTATATAGAACTTTGATATCTCTCCTGGCCCGCACATGCAGGTGACTGCGACCTGAGAGCTCCACGCATTGTGAACACACCAACATGCTGAGTACTGTACGAAATTTGGGTATCCCTGTGACAAGCCTGGGCGGTCGGCAAGGTGTCCCAGTGAAGTCTATTCGTCCCGTGCCTATTCGAAGTTGGCAGAGGCAGAGACAAGGATAAAGCTCTGTCGTGTGAGGGGTCTTGCGTGACACAAGCACTAATCTGCCTATCGCCGTGCTTCTTCATCTTCGACATCATGTCTCTGTAAATTGATTGACTGGAGCCTTGGGTTGAGGATTGGTTAAATCCACAAACATCCAGTCCGACAACCCGGAGAGTGGGTAAACCGGGGAAGATGGCAAACATAGGGTTGCAGTATGTTGGCCCAAAATAACTGTTTGAAACTATTGCGGCTCGGCCCTCAAATCTGTACTCCCCCATTTAACCGGGTTCGCGAACACCTGTTGGTCGATCCGCTGCCAAGAAGTAGCAAACTGAAAATTTGAGATTTGACATTGGGACGGCTAAACCTGAGGCTTTTGCAGCCGCCTGCATGACCTCGAGTGCCTATCTCCTGTATTAGAGGACGAGTCCTCGAACCCAAAATCTATCCAATACCGACCCAGCCTGGGCGGACCTTAGCGTACCGCTCGGGGATTCCCGTGGCTCGGGAACAGAAGTATCGTGGCAAGCCTGTAGATGTCGCACCTACCAATCCAGTGTTGCGGGCTGCGTGCTCCTTGGCGCATGCTCAGTCCAGACTTGCCAACTTCTTTCCCAGCATAACACGAGGACCCAGAGAATACGGTCACCACCACTTCATTTCTTGATGGCTGCTTGGCTGGCCAGCAGACTCCCGGCGACGGTGAGCGAAAGCAGCGGCGAGATGAGGTACGATATCTGAGCGAGCGGTTAGCGGTTAGTTGAAACTCGACAAGATGTAGCAGTTCAAAGCCGTGACTTACCGTGAGCAGCCTGCTAATGTGCTTCTCGCTATCCTGGGACCCCTCAGCAACCTGGACCATCGTAAGGAGCTTCATGGCGCTCGGCCCACACGGCATGATAGCGAGACAGAACCACAGGATCGGGTCGAAACTGAGAAGGCTGGTCTTGGTGGCGAGCATGTAGATGACGCTGATGGACATGAGCGGCCAGGCCACGAAGCGAACAAACAAGATGTAGGCGACAGGGCCCCAGGGGATGTTCCTGATCGGGCTCTCGTGGTGATCTTTGGCTTCCTTAGTAGAGCAAAAGAGCGTAATCCCGGCCACGACAACCGGCAGGGACACAAACAGCCCGCCGATGGACTTGAGAGACGAGGTAATCCAGGCGGTGAAGATACCACCCTCCTGAAAGCTGTTGAAGAAGGCGCGGTGCAAGGCCGGAACAAGCCCGATGACGGCGCCGACGACGGCTCCCAGCAGCGGAGCGTTGAAGAAGTCGAGGACGAAGAGAAGCCACCACTTCATCCGGGGAGTGAGTTGATCCCATCTTCGGCGCGGCACAAACCACGGCCGTCGGCGGTCGGGCTTTGGTTCCGAATTCGTTTCCCTGGTTTGCGAAAGAAAAAAGGTGCTGCGTCTGACGGGAAGCATTGGTCGGTGGGATTCCAACAGGCGGGTCTGCTCGTTGGCTTCGACATCTGGAGTTACAGGTGTATCGTCGTGTGAGTTTCCATTGGCGTTGTCATTTTTGTCGTGCTCCTCCTCGTCGTCTTCGGGCGCGTGCTCCGAGTCAATGAGGCGTGGGCCGACGGCAAAGGTAACCAGATTGCTAACGGTCGAGAAAATCAAGAAGTAGCTCTTGGCTCGCTCGACTGCCTCCTCGGTCGTCTCATCCGTCACGATGATGGAGTCGAGGATGCCGGTTTCTTGGAGGGCGGTGATGAGAAGAAGAGGGTAGCTTGTCGTGTTGCTGATGAGAATGCTGGGTGCCGTCCAATCAGGCATCCCCAGACCACGGTGCCCAAGCATGCCGAGGGCGAAGCTAATTACGTGACAAACAACAGCCCAAATGAGGATGACAATGTACCGGTCGACCTTTTCAAGTTCCAGTTCGGACCCGACCTTGGTGATGAGTAGTGCGGGGAGGAATATGCGCACGCAGAGCTTGCTGATCGGCTGCAGATGGGAGCGGTCGATGACCTTGAGATGGGCTGCCAGCCCGCCGTAGCACATAACCAGGAGCACCGAGAGGCTCGCTTGCACCGCGGCAAGGAACGATTCGAAGAGACCAGCGGTCGCCATCCCGAGTCTCGATTCGCGCCAATTGCAAACCGTGACTGCAGAATAAGTCAGGTCAGGACAGGAAATGATCGGCGAAATGTCGAGATTGCGGGTGGGTGGGCATATGCTGTTGCTGCTTCCGAGATCGAAGCCTTTTCAAAGGCCATTTCATGGCGAGATAAACAATCGATGATAATATCTCTGGTTTTGGTGTGTTCATGCCGGTGAAGCACAATGACGTCGGGCGTGGGCGAATGGCAAGCGCAGGGGTCCTGTCCGCCCCTGAAATGGGGGTGATACGGAAGCTCGCGGGCGACTTTGGAACTTAACCGAAAAGCACTACACGTATATACACACACCCCAGGTGTACCATCTTTTAATTTACGCTTATAAGTAGCAGCCTTTGTTGGATGAAGTAGTTCTCGAAACACTATATATATCCATCATCAACTATACTCTCTTAGTGCATAGTAGAATTGCTCGCTGTGATGCACTGCAATTGACAGTCGCGATGTACGGAGTCATGCAGAAGTGGTGGTTGCAATGCATTGGCACTGGTAATGGGGTGGCCGCATTGGTGCGCGGACCACCTCTGGATTAAGTTCCAGACTCGCCTGCAGGCTTCCGTAGTGGGGGAGAGGCGTTGGCTGCCCTGGGCACTGTACGCTGACGTCACGCGATTACTTGCCCGAGATGGCCAACTGTATCTTTCAGTTTCAGATTCCGCAATACCTGTTTGTCAATTAATACCCGTGCGTCCAGTACTGCTAGTTTCTAGGATGTCTTTTCATTCAGTTCTGATAACTAACAACTTCCAGGTTGGTTGAGGAACGTCAATAGGTCCGTCTTCATCATGACGTTGTTTTCTGCGCAGTGGTATGAGCAATCTGCACCGACACAGGCACTTGCACTCAGCATCCGGGGCCCTTTAGCTGCAATGACTTGTAAACATCTAACTTGACTTAGAGAGCAGCTGATTATGCAACATCACTCAATATATCGTCGGCCGCCTTCTCAGCAACCATAAACGTCGACACAGCCGTGAACGTCCCCGGAATTCTCGGATACACCGACGCGTCCACCACCCTCAGCCCCCGAACCTTCCTCACTCGGAACTTGCTGTCCAACACGGCCATGGGATCGCCGTCCGGCCCGATCGGGCACGTCGAGCTGGCGTGGTGGCCCCACGCGCCGTCCTTGATGTACTGCTCCAGCTCCTCCTGCGTGTTGAAGTCAGGCCCCGGCAGCACCTCGTTCGTGCGCAGGGGCTGCCGTTGCAGCGCCCGCCGGCCCAGCTCAATCCCCTCGTACATGGCCTGCAGGTCCGCCTGGTAGTCGCCGCTGCCCGTGTCGAAGTAGTTGTAGACGATCTCGGGCGGGACGAGCGGGTCGGCCGACCGCAGCGTCACGCTGCCGGCGTTGTTGCGCGGGTGCGCCTTGAGCACCGCCCAGCTCCACCAGTCGTGCTCGGCTGTGGCGTGGTACGAGTATTCCGGGAAGTAGCCGATGAAGTTAACGGGTCCTCCAAAGACAAAGGTGTCGAAGTTGCCGTCGGCGCTGGCGGTGGACTTGTAGAGCATGGTGATGGGGAGGCCCTGGGACGCGTAGGTGCCGCGGTCTCCGAGAACTGGGCGCTGCCACTTGTCGAGGCAAGGGTCGTGCGTGTCGTTGAACTGAAAGGTGCACCCGTTGAGAGCGGGCCAGTCGTTGGGTAATTTGGCCGTGACGGACGTCTCGTAGTGGTCTTGCAGGTTGGTGCCGACGCCAGGGAGATCGGCCACCACGCTGATGTTGAAGCGCTGCAGTTCGTCTGCAGGCCCAACTCCGGAAAGCTTGAGGATCTGAGGCGAGTTATAGGCGCCTCCCGAGATGATCACCTCTCGTGAGGCCGTGGCGGAACCAGGAATGCCTCGCGACGCAGACCTGCTAAGCGGGCTGGCGCGGTAGAGATGTGCGCCGTCGAGAAACTCGACTCCAGTAGCACGGGGCGGCGAGACCGACATGTCAAAGGCCACGCGGGTGACATGGCAATTCAGCCTCACGTCGAGCGGGTACTTTTTGCTGCCGTCTGCGTTGCGGGCGTCCCGAACAGAGACGACAAACTCGCGAGCGCCAGTGCGGGCGCCCTTGTTTGTGCTGATTGGGACTTGGTAGTAGTCGGGCCTGCGATCGCGGCTGTCGTTGTCGGCGTTGAGGTCACCTGCTAGCAGCGTCCCGATGTTGACGACCTGGTTGAGAACGTCGCCGAGCGCAAAGGCACCACCCGTAAGGACAGCAAGGAGCTGCGGATCCTTGAGCGGAACGGTGAGGGGTGTCAGTTCCGTCGTAAGCCAGCCATCGTAGCCATGGCCTTGAGGCAGGCCATTGAGATACTGCTTCTTCTCCATCCGCTGGAAATACTTGCGCATGTTGTCGGGAGCCCAGGAGCTGTCGCCCGTCAGGTTGACCATGTACTCAAAGTCGGACTGGTACGGGTAGACGGCCACCAAGGCGTTGTGTGCGGTGCAGCCGCCGAGGGTCCCCGTGCGAGGATACAGCACACCCTTCATCCTGGACCCGGGAGGCGGGTTGATGCCCGTGTAGATGTTGCCATCCGGAGTGTCGTAGCTGGTCTTCCAGTCGCGAGCCTGCCGGGCATCATCGGCGTAATGGCGGACGAAGAAGTTCCACGCTAGCTGCTCGTCCTCGGAGACGCGGGCATGGTAAGCCGGTACCGTGTAGTTGGTGCTGGTGCCCTGGTCGTCGCCGGCTTCGATGAGGAGTGTCTTGTGTCCGGCCAGAGCCAGGCGTGCGGCAAGCGGCCCCCCACCGGCGCCGGATCCGACAACGATGTACTCGTAGCCAGTAAGGTCAACGGCCTGGACGAGTACGGCGTAGGAGGCGGCAAGGCCAAGAAATGTGCCGAGAAGCATTGCGGCGACTAGTGGATGTAGCCAGGTACCGAGGCCAACCACTGCAAGTCCGGGAAGGGCACTCGAGAGCTACAACTACACGAGATTCGCGAGCTTTTTCATCGACCATGTGGGAAACACCGAGATTTTGAACACCTGCAATGCAGTCTTCCTTGGAGAGCTCCAGCCGGTAGACCGAAATTGGACCAGGTTCTCGGTGGCCATCTTCCAGGTTCCTTTGGCACGTTTAACCGAAAGCGGCCAAGATCACCGCCGCATGGAAACTCGGACGTGGAGTCGTTGAGAGCGAGTTTGGCGATAATGCACCCAGAACTTCGAAGCACGAAAGAAGGAGCACCGGCGTCTTGGATGCATGTCCCGCTGAGCAACTCGAACCGTGCGCAGCTCGCAGCAACGTTGCTTCTGATGGTTTCCGTGAACATTTTTATCAGGTTTCTTTGAGAAATAACAGTGGAGATCGACGGCAGGTCAGAGAATGGCTCGTGCCTGCCGCCTTCCCCGGTCCCCAGTGGACACTTTCAGGAACTTCCCGGTTGACGCTGATCTATGCGCCTCCGCGCCCGGGAACAGGGGTTTCACAGCCTTTCCGGGTTTATTTCCAGCGTCATCGAAGATGATTCAGCCTCCCACTCGAACATAAGGCGCCATTTCACGTCCACATCACGATTCCCTTTTCCCTCTTTGTCAAGGACTCGACGCAAACATCACCCCAGTCCCCGTCTGGAAGCGGCCCGGTCCTGGCTGGCCCCCCGGCTGTTCGGACGTTGGTACGAAACTCCACAAGATGTTCCAACCAAGGCTTTCCTGGTTGCCTGTCCTGTCTTCCACAACCAAGTCTGGCCGAAATTGAGAACGTTGCTCTCCGAAAAAAAGGAGCCTGCAATGTACTCCCACTCGGGCTGCGATGAGAGACATGAGAACGTGCTGGTGCCTCAACTCTTTCCTGGGCGTTTTCGACGGGAACTACGGACGACGACATTGGCCGCGTGAAAGCGGTTGTCCTGAAGGCCAGTTCGGGTCCGGAGGGTACAGGCGGGACTCTGGTTGCTGTGGAAGAGATGGGCGAGAGAGAAAAGGCAGCCTGGAAGACAGCTTGGATGGTCCTGGGCCCACTCGTCCCATCGCCTGGTGAGGAAGAGTCTGATGTTTGGCCCTGCGATGGAGGGGAAGAATCGTGCGCTATTGGATCAAGGCAGGCTGGGCTGCTCCTCTGTCCTCTGGCGAGAAGAAGTCGTTTGAGAGCGTCTAATTGGTGTGTCGACGTGGCCTGCAGCTCGTAGGGCACCGTGAGTCTGTGTAACCATGCTAGACAGGTCACATAGAGGGTTAACCTGGGTTACGATTGAGTTTGAAGGCTCTGTGAATGAATCAAGGGACCAGCCTTTTTTATTCAGCTTGCCAACCAGTTGCAAGCGTGTAAGTCAACATGCATTTCTATCCCTAACTCCCACTCCCCCGTTTCCATGTATCCAGACCAATGTGTGTACCCGTGTCGCAAAACAAATACCATAGCTTACATTACATGGCAATGATCCCTGCGACGTGCCGGCAACCTGAGGCAACGTTTACCGCTGGCGGCAATTGTCGCAGGCCTAAGGGACAGTCAGTGTCTCTCTTGGCATGCATAGTATTCAGGTCGCATCATCTGTAGCAATGATAGTTGCGATCGTCATGCTCCCGGAACCAACGGCCAACGTAATCGCTCGTGTATCTGTGTCGGACTTTGACGCACATGTTTGACTATAAGCCCGAAAGAGCGTTAGCTAACTGCTGTCTTAAGGTTTGTTGCAGAAGGGGTTTCTTTAGTGCGAATGCGGGACTTGACAGAGCAAACGACTTCCAAGGGATGAAAGCCGTAGAAGTGACTGCGATGTGTGTGATTGTACGTGTGATTGTGTGCTTTCGAAGCGGGATTCGTATTGTTGTTGTATTGTCAATTGTATTGCTGCTGCGATGGTGGACGTCTGATGAGCTCACTTCCGCTGAGATGATGGCTACCTTTATAGGTTCAATCAGTACTGGTAGTACATCGTTTCCTTCTCGCTGTACGGTTATTGAAAGCATGACATTGAGAACTCCCGTGAAACGAGGCTACCGTAGAGAATTGGTCTGAGTTGAAAGTAGCACAACCCTCGGCCAGACGTGACCCGTTCCAAGGAGGAAGAACGACCACGCCGTCGGGGCTGAGCCGTTGGGTCTGAAATATTGTCGGTTGCGGACCGTGGCTCAATGTACCAAATCACTCTCCCGCACTTGCAGGTGTTGCGTGTTCGCAATGAGTTGAGAAGATGGGACATTTTACAGGTTTTACCCAAGACTGCCCGAACAGTAAACTCTTGTCATCAGGGCCGACGAAGCACACACTACAATCTACAGGATCAAGCTGGGAGAATACCTGATTCTACCTTACCTACCTAAGGTACCCTATCCGCCTCAGCGTTCTCCAATGAAGCTCAGTGCGGCCTGCGCCAGAGGCCGGACACGCTGAGCTAACTTGAGATTCTGGGCCAGACTAGGCTGTTCGTGTGTCTCCTTGGCTACTTTGGTCATATCAAGGCGCGGGCTGCGTGGGTGATACATCCTTGCGATTAGAAACAGGCTTGGCCCGAAACACTCGAGGCCTGTTTCCGTTATGTGCAAGGCAGCGACGCTGTGGCGATGGGGGCTGAGGAATTTAGCTGGCTGGTTGTTCTTGGTTTCAGCCTATCTATGCGGGTGGCTCGATATGCTATCCATATATTGATCAACATGAAGTCGTGGGCCGTTTATGCCTCCATATCAAAGGACTAAGTTGAATCCTACCGAGACCATGCCACTCTCTCTCACTCTGCTGTTGGCTCGGAGGGCCTACCGAACAAGACGTGCCTTCGACGTGGCCTGGACCCGGCATTTCATCATTCCTTGAATAAACGGTGTATTGGACATGGACTGTACTTCAACCCGGGAGTCTGAGAAGCACCGGGAACCGCCTGGCGTTTGAGAATCGAAGGCATTGTAACAAATTTGTATGATTTCACTGCCTCTTCCGCGTGAACATCCGGGGTAGACGCCTGACTTCATTGTACAACTGAGAAACCTCTTCCAGCCCCTCGAATTCAACACCCTACATGTGCACACCGTGCCTAAAACGCCGTTGCGCTCACATTGTCAACCAGGAGACGCGCTGCCCGGTTCGTGTTGGATTGCAGTCTGAACGCCAGGGTGTTGCTGGCGGCCGTTGCCCCGCACGTGACGGGGAACCAGTACTGTACCGGCGCGATATACGAGCCAGCCCCAGATACTAGGGTGACGCCTCCTAGAGTAACTGACCAGGGGTTCCCATTGGTATAGCTGGAGACGATGATGATCTGGAAGGTGAGCCTGTACCGAGTGCCCGCGACACTAAGACAAGGACGGAGGGTCAGTCACCAGCGGCAAGTCCCCTTCCCTGACGGCATACGGGGATTGTCTCACTCACCAGTTGCCGATATCACGCCCCAGCCGTCCAGAGTGCCGGTCTCAAAGTCGCCGTTGATAATAACGGGCGTGACGGCTGGAGTTGGGACAGGCTCCGTCGACGTCGAAATCTCGGTCACAGTGACAACGTCGGTTTGAGTGGCCGAGTCGGTGACGGTGACCATGGCGGTTCGGGTCTCGACAACGAAGTAAAGGGTGTCGGCCGTGACGGTGGCGGTCGTGACGCCGATGCAGGAGCAAGCCGACGTGAACTGGGCCGGCTGGATAGCGGCGGTCGGTAAGCTTGCCACGCAGGCGAGCGGCGGCTTGTTGGCGTGGCACGAGCCTTCCTTGCGGCGGGCCGCCGTCTTGTTAACCACCCCCTCCACTTCCTTGATTTCGGTCACCGTTCTTGTCGCCGTTTGAGCCGCGTTGCTGTGACCGTTGCGGTTTCGGTCACGGCATCAATGACGGTCACGGTTGGTGTGATGGTAACAGTGTTTGTCGTCTGGGCAACCATGGTGATGGAGTTGGTGCAGTACGCGCTCGCCTGGCTGAGCAAGCTGGCGAAGCAGGCACACAGCGCATCCTTAGAGCACACCTCAGCGTCTCGCAGGCGGAGCTTGGCGGGGCTTGCGGCGGCGAGCGTGACCAGAACCCCGGTGGAAATGGCTGTCGTGAGACGCATGGTGATGGATCTGAAGATTAAACGAGTGGCTACCGAATGGGGTTGAGTGTGGTACTGGGCGGTGCCCGGGCAGAGACGAGTGGCCGAACTGGCGACAGTCAGCAAAGGGAATGATAGGAAATGAGACTGCGAAACAGCTCGCGGCATAGTATGGATTTTCATCTCTCGAACTGATGCATGTGTTGGGGCCCGACCATGGCAATCCAGGCTATCGGGAGACCAAGATCCACAAGCTGAGAGCCCCGGCACGCTCGTGGTGGTTTATTCCATCTAGCTCGCGCTTATTAACTATTGCTTTGGGCTGACAACTGAGCTGTCGAATCGCCTCACTGGTTTCACCCTAGCATAAAGGCCTTGATCCACTTGCCAGACTCGAAACTAAAGTAACTATCGACAGAAGGAGTGGAGCGAAATTAAAACTTATCGAGCCACGCGAGTCAAGCGGATAGTTGTCCTCGGTTCAACTCCCGTTGTAGTCAGTCGATCCGTACACACCACCTAGGCTCGGCCCGATCTGATCTGGGCTCACGTCCTTCCCGCCTTTCTTCGGCAAGATAGACGATCGAGTTGGCCTTTTCTTTGTACCTCGTGCGCTCCTGAATCAGATGTTGTGAGACCAGCCAGAACTTCCCAACGTCTGCCCTTTTTCCCGACTCGTATGGAGTCTGATGTTTGCCCGATAACCAGGTAGTGACGGGGTCAAAATAGGAAGTCAAAACGGAGACAATTCCACTCAAAAACATACAACACCGGGGATTCGCTGGTCGTCACCGACCCAACTACTGATCCGGCCCTTACTAGCTTATCTAAGGGAGAGCGAACGGGATCCCGAGTTTTCTAGTAGGTATGGTCGTATGTGGTAAAGACACCGTTAGAGGTAGCATTATCTGGACCCCTTTCGAGCATCTTGGAACTGGAGAGCCATCCTGGAGTGAGGCAATGGATGATAATCCGCTCCTGAGTCTTGAACAGCATGGTCAGTCGGCGATAAATCCTTTCCCGGAGCCTGGAAGACAGTCATGCCATCTGCCTCAAGGAGTCGCCAGGGTACAAACAGCAGACCTGGGCAGTTGCTACAGAATCATGGATGCGAAGGATTGGCACTTAGTTGACAAGGCTGATTCCAAAGGGACCATTCTAGTCTAATAGAAGTTTTCCAAAGGTTCATGTTGGCATTAGAACCTTGGTGGGTGAATGATGAGATTTGGCCGGGCATTGGCTTCAATCGTGCACGTCTCGCAGACGCTGAGAACAAAGTCGGTTGTCACGGCTGCATTCATGGTGGATGAAAACTGGACGCGTGCGTAGAGGCCTTGATTCTGAAGTGGAAAATATCGATACATTTGTATCCAGGTTTTATGCTGAGGTTCGTGACCGTTGTGCTCCGTAATCCTACATCCAGTACCTCAGCTACCGTCTTTCTTCAGCCAACCCGACAGCCACTAGCAAAGGTTAGCCAGTATCCCAGTCACTCAGACCCTTGCTCTCCGCCTCGTGGGCTTATCTCGGCCTATCAACATCCTGCTAGTGGCTGTTGAGTTGGTTGGAAAAAGACGGTACTGTATTTTGGTTCGGACCCACTGCACTGAGTTGCGTCTTCAGCCAAATCGCGGTAAAAAGCCGTTTGTTTTTCTCCCACTGCCAATGAATAGCTATGTACCTGCGAACCACGCTCATCCTACAACGGCACCCTACCCTGGTACTAGATCCATCTTCAAGATACTATTCTCCTTGCAGTTCGCCTCAATCTGAGGCTTACCCGCCTGCCCGAGCCATCATTGCCGTCGCCTCTCCGTCCTCAAACATCTCAAACTCACTCACGGCTGCAACCATGGTCGTTTTCACCAACGAGGCTTTGAGCCGCCTCTGCTCCGAGGACAGACTTGCGCTGTTGGATTCGATCGATCGTCTACGCTTGCAGGGTATCAAGAACTATGTCTCCCTGCACCAGATCATTGTCTGCGGCGACCAGTCATCAGGCAAGAGCTCCGTCCTAGAAGCATATCAGGGGTTTCCTTTTCGATCAAGAGCAAGTTGTGCACCCGCTTTCCCACCGAGCTCATCTTGCGCAGGACAGCGCATTTCAGCTCCCGCGTCTCCATCATCCCGCATGAATCTCGCCCGGAATCCGAGCAGATTGCCCTGCGCAATTTCCACGAGGTGTTGACGGGGTTCGACGACCTTCCAAAATTCATCGAGAGCGCAAAGTTTGCCATGGGCATCACGCCCCATGGAAGAGCATTCGCGCAGGATATCCTCCGTGCGGAGGTCACGGGGCAGACCACCCACATCTAACCATTGTCGACCTACCCGGACTCATCCACGCCGAGACCAAGCACCAGTCAAGCGCCGACGTGGAACTGATCAAGGGCCTCATCCAGTCCTACATGAACGAGTCAAGGTGCATCATTCTAGCCGTTTTCTCACCCAAAACGGCTTTGCCAACCAGGTGGACCTAAAAATTGGCTGGCGAGGCCGACAAGACGGGGAACCGAACTTTGGGTATCATTACAAAGCCCGGCACGCTGGCCCCCGGGGATTAGAGCGAAGCTCTGTACGTTTCTCTTGCTAGGAGCCAGCAGGTTGCGTTCCGCCTTGGTTGGCATGTCCTGAAGGACAAGGACTCGGAGAAGGGTACATCGTCTCTCGTCGAGCGGGATGCCGAAGAAGCCACCTATTTTAGCTCCGGGGCATGGGCCCTTCTATCCCCTTCATTGCTCAGAATGTTACAAGGAAGAGTCGGCTCACACTCTGTGCACAAGCGAGACACGATGGCTGGGACCGTTCCTACTCAAGATGTCCAGACGCGGCTGGACCACAATCTCGGCGTTCTTCGAATCTGGCAAAAGTCAAGACATTGATGGGTCAGGACTCGGCATGATGTGCAATTGGGATCGGATATGGAAAGTCGTGCTATCAAGGGGCACTTGTCATGAACTGGTGGGACATACATGCGAGTAGTTGGGCAGGTTTGGTGTACGACCATGATCATTCCTTCAATTCAGATTCGTGGTATGGAACGGACAGTCCTCTTCATGTGCATTGTTGTCTGTCCTTTTGATCACTTTGAAATCCGCCAAGCATTCCCTAGCAACTCTCATCAGCCATACGCTCCCAGCGTGTTATCCTAGTCTTGGAAACATGTATGCAGTGTTCATTGCCTCCCTCCCGTTCAAGTGTTAGAGACAGTCCCCTTCTAACTACATCGAACATCGAAGCAAGGCCAGGAGGAGTAAGGACGGAAACTCACCAACAAAACTGGTGCAGGCACTTGATGCCTGGGTTGTAAGCCATCAGAACTATCAGCAAACCTGCAACTCCAAACTGAACCGCCACGGAACTAGACGAGGAGGGTGTGAAATGGAAGGAAATCAACAGGAGCCAATTCGGAGATCCAATCTACTACTAATACCGCACCCAAAGACCACAGCACAATTGGCTTCCAGTCCACAACCTGAGGCAACCCCAGCAGAACTCGTACTTGCAGCGGGAGCCTGAGCCACGTTAACCGTCCCTGGCCAAACAAACAGTACGGAAATGTGACATAAGAACATTTTGTAGCCGTCCGTCGTGCGAAAGCCAAGTATGTAGGGTAGACAAACTGGTGAGAAGGGTCCGCGGACTCCGGGGCAGGCAGAGCAAAAGAAAAGAGGGGGCTCACACGTCATATGACCGCTGTATGATGAATGACTGTCAGCTGGGGAACATCAGCATCAGAGGAGAGAGTCAGAGACGACGAACCATCCGCCGTTCTTCTCAATGTTCCATTTGCATTTGGGACACGGCTTGGTCGTCCGCTCAATGGTTGCCTTACTCGCTCGCAACTCCCAGGCCCGCCTGTTGAGTATCTCTGTCGGGGTTTCATTCGACGTACCGGTAGGAGCCTCGAACTTGGTCCACTCGGCGCAGGTCATGCCGACATGCCACGGAACCTTGCACGCGAAACAAGTCTTGCTGCCGCATCCAGCGCACTTGACGATGGGCTGATCAGTCCCGCCCTCGTGGATCTGTCCGCTTCCACAACCGGCCGCACACTCATACACACGGCTCAAGTCAGCAACTTGGAAGACTTCCTGGACGGGATCAAGCCAAGTAGTGCAGTGTAGGAGGCACATACCCACACGAAGCTGCCATCCTCCTGCATGAGGCGATGCAGACACAGCTCATCGTATCGCTGACAAGTCTCGGCGTCGGCGTATCGCTGGATGGTTTCGAACGACATGGTGCCGGCGCACTCGGGGCACGGAACGTCAGACAGAATCTTGGCCTGAATGTGCCCACGAATGGACGTTGCAATGCAGTCGATGCAACTTCTCGGAGCGTGTTGGCAACCACTCGTCAGCGGTGCGCCAGGGAATGCCTCGGCAGGCTTCGTTTCGGCACAGACGACGCATTCTCGGCCGGTTGCCATGATCATCGAGAGAAGGGAAGAGTTTTGGAATCAATGCCAAAGCAGCTGATCTCAGGTCGACGACCGGAAGAGTGGAGGACGGTGGAAGCCTACGGTAGCTGGGTCCGCAAAAAGCGATCCTGAGGGTCGAAGTTGTTTACATTGGGTATGCACAGACAGGCCTGTGCGGAAGGGATTCGTCATCTTCGGAATAGGTAATAGTCATCCAGCAAGGATCATAGGCGCGTCAATGAGGTGGTAGTGACCAATGCTCTTTTCCAGAAGCAAACAAACCTGCAATGCCCCCATGTGCCCGTCTACGTCTTGGTTTTCTCCTGGACAAATCATCCAAAGTTGACAAACAGACGCAGACAGACCCTACTGGAGCCAGTTGGGGTTGTCGTGACGGGAGGTTTTCGCCCACGGGGATATCGAGGCATGGCCAAAGCTGCTCACAGCCCAGTCGTCGAAACGCAAACCAGCACCAGAGATGATCCTTGACACAGTTTTGCACCTTCGGAGTTGGGCTCCGGCTGAAGCCTCGAAGGCATCACAGCGACTTGGAGTGAGATTCAAGTTCCTAAATTGCCAGCTAGCACTGGTGGGCATCGAGACAGCCTCGGAGGTGTTTGTTCAGTATCAAGATGCTGAATGTCACTACGGATACCTGATGCATTTGGTACCTTTAATTACCATGGAGGATTCGGCAAGGGGGCGGATGGGCGTGGGTTTGGGTCAATACAGGCGGCCGGGGCAACACGAAGGGATACGGTCTTCTCAATTCTCATCATGATGCTAAGCCTGCAGCGATAATTGCCTCGAAAAGAAACACCGAAGAATCGGGGATGGGCTCGCACTTGGTGTTGGACTTGGACATGAAGAGGGGCGGGTTTAAGCGCTGCTAACGCCGGACGGTTAATCAATGCCGACGGATGTTATCAAGGAGCTGCCTATTTAACATTCTCTCTACAATTTCTCCGAACTGCGCACATGTCTGGGAACAACTTGTCTATTCTGATCTTTCTTAGCCGCTGACTTTTGAGAGAAAAATCCGAATCACGGTAGTTGGAGAGCATTTGAAAAGCCGTGGCACGATGCATCTCATCCTGACTGGCGCTACCGGTTTGGTAGGCACTGCAGTGCTAGACGCCATGATCAGAAGCAACGGAATCACCAAGATCTCGGGTCTTACCAGACGCCCAACCAAGTTCGCCGACAACCATCCATATCATCATGCACAACGACTTCACCTCTTATGACAGTGACCTCCTCGCCAAGCTCCAAGGCGCCCAGGCTTGTGTCTGGGCATTAAGAATCAGCCAGACCAAAGTCAACAAAGAGTCAGTCTTGTCTCACGGCACAAGCGCTTCACGCCTTCGTTGCATGACGAGTGATTATCCACTAAACGCAAAGACCATATTAGGGGCTACATCACAATCACAAAGACCTTCCCGCTGGCCGAGATGCAAAAGCAAAACCCTTCGTCCCTGCGGGCCACCACCGTCCGGGCAAGCCTTGTCGACTGGATTGGTCACGAGGAAATCAAGCCCTACTTCCCCGATTTTGGACTGCTCATAAATGTGGCGGGCAGTATTCTTATGCCAGTGGCCAGGCGTCCGGCGAGGAGCAAGTGGTGCACGACAGAACCGCTTGGCCGGTTCCTGACGGGAATGGCCATGGGCGTGTGGGATGGTGCTTTGGAAGGGGAGGGCGTCGAGCGACTGCCGGGTGGTTTTACGGTTGTGGAGAACCCGGGGTTTAGGAGGATAATGGGATTGGATGCTGTGGACGGGCAGTGAAGCAAGCTCTGGTATTGCACTAGGTCACGAAGAGGCTGAGAGGTAGGGGTTGTCTACCTCGGGTCTGTGAGGGATTGCATCAGTAAGACGAGGCACATGTACAGTACGTAGTAGTACTTTTTGCTAGAGTCAAGACAGTTCTGCCACCTATTCGACCAACGCGGTGGACTCACATTCTCGGCCTCTGCACACCGCAGTCACACAAGGCTCGGAATCAAATTGCTGTCAAATTGGCTTCGCCGGGACACACAGTCCACTGAGTGTGGCCAAGATGGCGAGAAATCAAAGGGCACACGGCACACTTTGGGAAAGCTGGGACTTTGAGAGGGATGTCCCAGCCTGAATAAGGTAGGTACCACAATCACGGCCATTAAGGGCATGAGTTACGCTAGCAGTTGACAGGTGATATGGGAGTGCGGTTCTTGCCGTCAGGAAGCAAGAGGATGCCCTGACCAATTAGCAGCAGTACCATTGCACGTTCCTGGAAGGAGCACGCTCCACCGCGCGCCGCGGAAGCCCCGTTTCGCCGGGCGCTTGCCGGACCCCGCCCCGATCGCATCCAGCTTACTTACAGCGAGGTGCTTCGGGAGGGGCAAAATGGAGCGGCAGGTAATAATGAAATGAGAACTTATCAAAAGACCGCAGCAGATCATTATTCGCTACCATGCAAATCGATAGTAACAGGTGTTTCGCACCTATTGAACGCTTTCATTTGTCATGAACAACACTGACAGCGTAGTATTCGACGTTCCTGTACGGCAGCACCCCTCAGTCCAGAACGACGACCCCTCTTAGACGCTCCGCACATCCCGCATCTCGCCGCACATGGAACACATCCCACGCCCAACCGGCATACACATGTGTCATTCCAGCAGAGTTCAACGGCTGCACGTAAACTTCGCTGCACCACGCCACCAGCGTCTCCTTTCCCGTCGACATCGCGAATCACGGACCCACGTGGGTCTGCTTCTTGGAGCGGGGTTGGTAGGGTCCACAACAGGAGGATGTGCCGACAGGATCGACGGGGGCGACGAGAGGAGACAGTCCAGAGTGAAATGAAGAACGACTCTAGCAAAAGGCCGAGACGTGGGACCCGGGGGTGACTTTGTGGGTCGCAGTCCACATGCGACAAATCGCGTGTTGACGCAAACGGCCCGTAATGTCACGATCAGGTATCAACAACCACCAAGACATTCCAGTTCGTTCTGTGGTGGATCCTGAAGATCCACGATGTTTCGTCTCGAAGAGGGCACCACTTCCCATTCCGTCAAGTCCGCCGAAAGCACCACGGATACGGTACTTAAGGACGTCCAAGAATTTTCCCTCACTCGTGTCCTCGAGCCCTCCACATGAGAGAACCCGCCAGACGGAAACTCCACGGATGGAAGTACTCTACAAGAAGCACCATCATCACTGACTCGACAACAACAACAACGACCATGGCCCTCCTAACCGCCTCCAGAACCGCTCCGAGCGTTTCCCTCAGCCAGCGGTCCGATGTCATGTCCACGATGTACCCCCTCGTGAACAGCGCGGTGCAGTTCCAGCAGCTCCTCGGTTCCGCCGCCTTCCACCTTTTTGTCCGCACCTACTTCGCTGCCTCGGTGGTAGCCACCCTCTCGCTATGGGCAAGCAAGAGCATTGCCTGGCGGACCTTGCTTGCCTCGAGGGTCCTCGCTGCCAGGTCGCTATTCCTCGCCAAGCGGCTGGCATGGACGGCGTGGGACTGCAAGCGGTCGAGGAGCATCCGCAGGAAGCTCCAGTTTGAACTCTTTGTGCTGCTCCTCGGACCCGGCGGCAATACCCTGCTGCTGATGATCTTCTGGCCTGGCTGGCTCATGCTGGCCTTGCTGGGCTGGGCGATCTGGCAGGTTACTGGCTGATGTAAGCAACAAGAAGCCGGAAAAAGCCCCTGTGGGCGAAGACACAGCCAATGCTCACATGTAGTCTTTCGCAGGTCAGTCGTTCGAAGAGAAAAATAAATCATGAAGCGCCCTGCTACGGCAGATGCCGCCCCCGTCATGCTAATCAACCAAGACGAACGCCCTAGAAACGGCATTCACCTCGAGAAGAAAAAAGCATTGCCTCCTGGATCACGCCGGATCTCCTTGGAGTAATCCTTCTCCGGGTCGAACTCCTGCCACACGTTGGCCGGGTAGATGTGCTTGTTGCGCTGATACCACCGCCGGTCGACCACCTTGGTCAACGTCGGGTCATCCGACGCCCCTTCGAGTTCAGAGAGAGCGGGCGCGCGGCTATTGATGCCAGCTGCGCCGGGGGCGTCGGTGGTGGCAGGGGTTGGAGGAGCTCCGGCGCTGTAGTCGAAGAGGCGTTTGTTGCCGGGACCGACGGTCTTGTTGATGATGAAGAAATAGAACTCGTAGTGCTATGCGGGAAGCGGATTAGTTAGTACTGGTTGTTGCGAAGATAGAGTAGAATATAGCAGAGTAGAAATGCTCAGAACTTACATGTGGTATAATCAGGGTTCCCCTCACAAGCATCAAGTCGTCGACGCTGACGCGAGCCCAGTCGCGACGAGCATTGGCGCTCTTGTCCGCACCAACCCCCAGCTGCGCGCCCACCTTGCGGCTCTTATCCAGAAACAGCCAGACAAAGTCACCCTTCTTGACCCTCACGACACCACCGGGAATGTTGGTTCCGTCGTAAAACACGAAGGGGATGGCGATCTCGGTCGCCTTGACGGCCGCCTGGAGCAAGAGGAATTCCTTCCGCAGCGCCTCCCTCTCGGCAGCCTCGCGTCGGAGCGCGGCTTTTGTCAAGGCCCGCGGCACAACGCCGACCGATGCGTTGATGGGGACCTTGGCTGCCGGCTTTTGGTTCTTGTCCTGGCCCCTGTCGTCGCCAAAGGATGGCTCCGTCGCGGCGGCCGCCTCATTGCCGTTTTCGCCGGCATCTTTCAATTTCTCCTTCTTCCCTGCTCCATCACGGCTGGAAGCTTTCTTGAACCCAACAACCCCACCTACCTCCATATCCTCCTCCTCGTCGTCTCCGAACGACACCAGCGCCTTGGCGCGCTTCACTTTCTCCTTCTTCCTTTTCTTTTGCCGTTCGCCTTCGCTGTTATCAGCGCTCGTCGCGTTGTTCGGCGTCGTGGTCAGGGACCGGTCGGGCGTCGACGTGCTTGTGCGAGCTGCTGCATTTGCAAGAGCAGTCGCGGCCTCGCGGGCTTCGCGCTCCTGCTGCTCGAGGACTTCGGCGCGGCGCTTGCGAAAGTCGGAGAGGGCGACCAGGCCGACCGTGTTGGTCGACAGCCGCGAGGTAGTCGTTTGGTTTTGCGGCGTGAAGCGGGATGCCGGTTGGGAGGATTGGTCTGACATGGTTTGGTGGTCACGGCCAGACGATGGGATGCAAAGGAATGCTCGGGCAGTCGGTCGGTTTGGAGCTTGATGTTCTGGAAATTTTGGGACGAATAGCGGGTAAGATTATCTATGTACGGATTACCTGGGCAGTACACCGTAACGATACGTCATTGTTAATACCCCTGAAACTGAGGAACAAAATCACCATGGCAAACACCAAGCAGGTTGCAATGGGCCCAGCTACGGTTTCAGAGATTTCGTCTGAAATCCTTAAGCTTTCCTTGGAGGAACCCTCCCAGGCTCTCAAAAATGTGTGCATCATGACCCTCGCGCCAGTGCAGGCTCACGCGAGTCTCCGATGTACGGACCACGATTGTGATCTCGAATCCAAGTCGGCATGCCTCAGATTCCGACGCCGCAGTTCTAGCGCCGGCTTCGTTCTGTTTTTCACCTGGGTGCGCTCGACTCCTTTTCCTTCTCCAAGCCCTGCTCCATACGTTCTCTCTCGTCCTTCCCAATCCCCTCGCCGCGTCCGGCTCCCACGTCCAGGACATCAACTCCAACGCTCCGACAACCTCCTTGATCCGGCTGACTACCGGGTCAACTGGTTCAGTAGCAGGTAAAACCAGCAGCTCTGTGGAAACAGCCGGAGGGAGAAGCTTCTTCCAAAAGCTCGCCTTCATGCCGCGGGCCACATGATCGGCCGGCCGCATAGACCCAAAGCTCCAACCCACCGCCCACCGCCGCGTCTTGTTCCCTTGCACAAACTCGGTTACAGCGTAGTTGTCGATGCCATGTTCATGCAGTTTCTCAACGAGGGCATCAAGGCTGGTGACCTTCCCCAGCATTGAGGTGTACCACTGGATCCGGTCCCGAAGCACCAGGGACTCGCGCAGCAGCCGGCCGACGTGAGCCACCTCGCCGCCTTCACACACCATCTCCACGGGCGCGCCCGTGCAAGCCGACATGGGCGGCCGCGCCTTTTTTTTGGCGGATGATAGCATATCCTCCTCCGAGGCGTAAAAGGGCGGATTCATCATGACGAAATCGATTGAGTGGATACCCTCTGCGTCAAGGGGTATCAGGGGGTCGTCCGGTTTCCGCTTCAAGAGCCGGATTAGGGCTTCCATGTGGTTGAGTTCGATGTTTGTCTTTGCGTATTCTAGGCTCTTCTCGTCTATGTCTAGGAACCAGCTGTTAGCGGGTCGTGTCAGTCTCGACCTGGACAAGAAGCTCACCAGTTGCGACGAAACACCACGGGCGCTGAGCAGTTCCCAAAAGAGGGTAGATGCAGCTTGCGCCCGTGCCGATATCAAGCCCGCACAGTTTCCGGCCGGGTGGCTCGTACGATGTCGTGTCCATCATGTCCTTCAACCACAGGATATAGTTGTGGCGGTTTGGCACCTGGGAGATGTTAGGGGATCGAGTGAAGTCTTGAACTTGTACCTCCTACGGTAACAAAATAAAGTCCCTGCGTCGGCTTGGATCAGCGAGGCATACCGGTGGGCACATTCTGTCGTCGGGCAAGTTTAGTTTCAGGCCAAAGTCAACTTCCAACAAGGTCTTTGTCAGTTGCATGGTGGCTGCTGGGTCGGTGAAGTCGAGCTGCCCATTGCTCTGGAGGCTGCAGAGAGGCCAAGTTAACCACTCACTGCGGAGCAATTAGGCCGGAAAAAGAGAGATGGGAGCTTACACGGCAGCAAAGCGTGAGTCTTGCTTTGCGAGCTGGTTAAAGTCGGGTTCGGATTCGTACAGCTGCCGGAAGTAACCATCGGCGGCCCGCCCCGGGGACGGAGGACGGGGCCGACCGGGGGTTGGACGGATGCTTGGGTCAGGTTCGTCGAGAGTCAGGCTTTGCTGGGTACCGGGGTCCGCGTCATCAGGCGCCTTTCTCTTGCTCCCTGCCATGGCGGTTTAAGGCCCAGGTTGCATCTGCTATCTGGACAACAGAGATGAAAATGTAAAGTAAGGCTTCAACAATGGCTGCTGGTTCTGCTGTGGTAGATGAGAGAGTCTTCGTTGAGTTTACAGCGGATACCGGTAGTTACAGAGCAGCCCCACTCTCGAGCGGGGCTGCTTTTTCTCACACATAACTAACTGCACTCATCTCTTTTTTCATCATTACATTTTACACGCAAGCTTCAACAATCCTCTTGAAGCAATACGAATACCCGTTCTCGACCTGACTGACTTTGCCATTCCTGTTCATGGACAGCGATTCTCTTGTTCTTCGTAACCAAAGCCAACGCATGTCAACTAAGCTGCTTGCCAGAGTTGCATGCAGACGAGTGTTCCACAGCAGGTTCGGCAATTCCGTCCAACGTCCGATTTACCCTCACTCCGTGGTCCAGGTGCAGGGTTTGCAGGCAGAACGTTGCGTGATCTGCACCGCCGTCCGGTGTACAACGAGACGATGTACACGCGGGTGAGTTTGGGGTTTGCGAGGCGACCAACCGCATATCCCATCGGGACCAAGCCACTCTATATCCCGCGCTTATCGCGACCAGATGGCCTGCAAAGCCGAGGGATAGTTATCGATCGCCTCATCCAGGCAGGCGGGCACCCACACGGCCAGTAACTACTTGGCTCAGTTAGCAGGCACACAGTAGCCTGGGCATCCTGCGGTGCGTCATGGCCAGGCCCTCGGAATCCACGGACAAAGAGCGTGAGCTTGAACACACCACCGCAAAATCCAACCGACAGTGTCCCGCTCATCCGTCTGGGACTCTGCCTGTCCAACAATCACCTGTCGGGCCCCACAGCTGAGAGCTGTCAATCAGGAACGTGTGTGCCAAGCCGGGTGAGCAACTGCAGCTTCCCGTCTTCGCATGGCAAGTCTTGACCCAGATCAGACAACAAGCCCACTGTGCCTGGGCCCCGTATCAGCCCGCAGACGTGGCCCTGGTGGTTCAGCTTGCCCCAGAGCCATGTGTTGTCGCCGCAAAAGCCCGAGACTCCAGGGGTTATCTCACGATGAGCTCCGCCGAACCGGGGCAGCTGCACTGATGGAGGCTCAGCCGGAAGCCTGGCCTGTCTGGCAAACCACACCAATGCCTCTCAGCCTTTTGGCTGCCTGTTCTGCCGAGTTACTCCATACAGTAGGCCGGCCGTGATTGGAGCTCCTAGCGCGGGTGTTGATCTCTTCGTCCAGCCCACATGCAGGTCAAAGACGGCCAAGCTAGCAACAAAGTTCACTTTCCATGCCGGGGGCCGTCTATCGGGCACGAGAAGCTGATGCCAACCCGGACACAACGTGGCTTCAACCGCAGCCTTTCTTGTTTCCTTGTCCTTGTATTGAGAAGACATGTTTTCCAGGTCCTCATCCCACTTGCAGGTTCCTAGAACTGGCAAAGTGGTGGGTTGCACAACCCTGGCAACCGGTTGGTTAGTTGCTCGTCCCGAAGCGCTAACAACCCCTGTCACAGCATATCCACAGCCAAAGGCCCCAGGCAGCCGGCCGCCTATCGTCAATGCAAGTTGCTGACCAGTCAAATAAGGCAAGGCTGGAAGGAGTGGGAGTTCGCATGTTCCCCCTGGGTGGCTCATCCGCAAACCTCTTGCATAGGATCAACCTAGAGGTCCAACCAGGTCTGGATACGTGACTTTAAATAGCCTTACATCCCTGGTGTGTTCTTAATACTCGGCTAGGCGCTCTTATCAGGTTACACGAAGACGACCCGACCCTCGTGACAACCTGCCCTGACTCCGTTGCACCCGGTCTCCCTTCTCGACGCTCGCCTTCATCAACATCCAGGATCACGCCCTCTCAAATATTGTAGATAGGCAAGCCCGCCGGAGTGTGGAGCGACAACCACTGTTTTCGGTTTGGACTCGACATCTAGCTCCTCAGCTGAAGATCCGGGGAACATACCCTTGTCGACTTGGCACCACCCCGGCACCCGCTGACCCCAATCGTTCTCAACGTCTCACCGACTTCTCGAGGACCACGCACAACAGCTCTCTCTGCATCGTTGTCCGGGACTGCAGCAGAGTGCCTCCTCACCGAAAGCGGTTTGCGTCTTAGGCGGCCCATCAGTCAAAGCAGGCAGGTAATGCCCTGATTCTACGTTGCTGCTGGACACATCTTGGTTGCGTTTTCCTCCACTCTTACACAGTACCAGTGTGCCAGAGGCGCCTCGTGTGGGAAGAAGTCGCCCTCCACACCCGCTGCTGCGTGTCTGGTTTCCATGTGCTGTTCAACATTTTCTGTGCTGGTTCCGCATTCTTCCAGGAGCTCAAAGCCATTGTCTCCTTTGCCTAAACCGCTTGCCGTGCCCCCCCGGACTCAGAACTTTCTTGCTGACTATCTGTGAGCCGACAGCATCTTGCCAACCATTCGCTGGCTTCACACCGGGTGCCTTCCCCGGCCTTGCCGCTACTGCAGCCCCGTCGACCGACGTCCCTCAGCCGGCCACGTCGCCATTTGCTAGTCAATCACACAGCGTTTTGAGCATCTTGGAACGTCCCATCATCCATATCACCGCCGAACCTCACATTTCGTGACTTACTTTCCAGCCCAAAGGTCGAAACCTCCAAGCGTCTTGCAGCGCAGATCGCCAGCGACATACTATTACCGCCAAAGCAATGGAGTCGGAGGACAAGACCACGACCGAGGTGCGCGAAGGGAATCCCCCGGCCCCAACGAAGAACGAGGATCCCAAGGCGCCAAACGAGAGCGGTGCCAAGTCAGCTGAAGGCGAGACCAAGCCCAACGACGCAAACCAGAAGCCAGCCAAGGAGAAAAAGTGCTCCAAGAAACACTCCAAGCGCAAGGCGAAGAAGGGCAAGAAGGCAGCATCCCCCGCAGATTCGACGTCGGATTCTGACAGTGACGATGGTGCCGATGAAACCTCGTCGTCCTCGTCGTCGGACGAGAGCCAGTCGGAGGCAGAGGACTCCAAGACGACGAAGCGGTCGGCCAAGAAGCGACGGGATTCGCAGAAATCCAAACGGAAGACGCGCACGAAGAAGCAGAAGAAGGCCACCAAGACGCGGGATCCCTCTGACTCGGACTCGGATTCGGATTCTTCCGACAGCGAGGTTAGTGATGGCTCGGACGACGAAGGGAGCCAGCGGGCACAAACAGACCTGGCGAAGCAGATCCAGCTACTCCTCCTTCAGCAGCAGCAGCAGCAGCAACAGAGTGACGGCTCGTACCAGTACGCTACTGGTCTCAACAACGCCATTCCCCCTTCCATCTACGACACCGGGTTGCGCCCCGCGCCGCCGCGGCCCCGCCGCGGAATGCCCCGTTCAGGTGGACGGGCGAACCTCAACCTCGGCGGTATTGACCCCAGCCTTCTCGGGCTGGATGCCAAGCAGCAGCAGAAGGACAAGAAGAAGCGGCAAAAGGCCACGAAGCTCGACTACAAGCGGGTCGATCAGGTGTGGGACGACAGCATCCACAACTACAAGCTCCAGGACACGGCTGAGGGGACGGTGGATGCCAAGTACGAAGAGTTCATCTTCCACGTCCGCCGTACCTTTGACTGGGAGGGCAAATACAAGGCCACGATTGTCGACATCAAGAGCAAGCTGCTCCGGGAGTGCCTGCAGGATGTCATTGGCGACATCAAGGGCGTCAGCTTGGTTGATGACACTCCCAAGCTGGATCCCAATATGCTCTTCCTGTACGTCTCTTCCCCCCTTTTCCGATATGCCTGCCTTGGCACCGTGGCGCTTTGTTATCTCCCGGGTTGCTCACGCTTGTGAACAGGTATCTCGAGGATCTCCAAAACCACATGAAGGAGCTGAAGAAGGCCAAGCCGGCCAAGGGCGATAAGCATGAGCGCAAGAAGGAGCAGAAGCGAATCGAGACCAAGCGCCAGCATCTAAAGGTTCTCATCAAGTACATCAACAAGGACTATGCCGATGTCAAGAACAGGTTCGCTCGAACTCATCCATGGTAGTTTCCCTATTTGCTTACAGGCTCGCTAACATTACCCCCTTCATAGTCTCTACCCCATGCTGGAGAACGGCCTCATCACGTTTGACCTGCTTTGGGCGCTATGGAAACCCAACACGCTCGCATACACCACCACGTACGGCTCACACGACGAACCGCGCGTGTTCAAGGTGGAGATGGCCGAAAAGCACCACGGCCTCATGAGGGGCGACTACTACTACATCGAGGGCAAGTACTTTGAGTACGACGGCAAGCAGTTCGGCTTCGGCAGCATGTCGGAGGACATTGGCGACTTCCGGGGCGCGCGCAAGATCACCAGCCTGGGGTGCTACCCACTCAAGTACCACAAGAACGAGGCGCAGCTGCGCAAGGACCTGGTTGAGCGCGGCAAGAAGTTTGTGTCGCTCAGCGGGGTGCACTACAAGAGCCACCAGGGCATGGCCTACTACAAGAAGAAGAAGTCCGTCATCAAGGTCAACATCAACGGCCGCATCATGGTGGACCCGAGCATCCACCGGCGCATCAATCCCAACTACCCCATCTCGCTGGTGAGGCCCAAGGACCACGATGTTCTCTCGGACGATGAGGACTCGGATGACGAATCCGGCTGCTGCGGGTGCGATTCGGAGACGGGCGACGAGAACAGCGACGGCGAGAGTGTCAAGTTCGTGACCAAGGTCATTCAGGATCGCAAGGGCAAGGTGCAGCTCATCCGCATGCCCAAGATGGATGACGAAGAGGAGGGTGGAAAAGAGAAGCTCGACAAGGTGGCGGCCAAGGGCGAGGACTCGGCGCAGGAGAACAGTGATGAGGGGTCGTCCACTGGAGCAGGCGACGGTAAGGCGAGGCCTGTGCCCGAGTTCAGCGACGAAGAGTATCTGATCGCTTCTCCTGTGGTGCTTGGGTTCGCCTTTGCCGAGAAGCTCTGGCTCGAGTTTACCGTCTCGGGTGTCAAAGAGATCCAGTGGAACGAGACGGCTTACGACTCGCTGGTGCTCGAGCCCAAGACCAAGGATATTGTCAAGGTAAGTTTGGCCCAGTGTGCAGATGGAGTTTCTTTACGGGGGCAGTGGCCGCCCTAACATTCTCGCGAAAAGGCGCTTGTCGAATCCCACAAGTACCACGCAGCCGAAAGCATCGACGACGTAATCCAGGGCAAGGGCAAGGGTCTGGTTGCCGTCCTCCACGGACCTCCGGGCACGGGTAAGACTTTGACCGCGGAAGGCATTTCGGAGCTGCTCAAGTGCCCCCTGTACATGGCATCGGCCGGCGAATTGGGCACAGATTCGCGGTACCTGGAGAGCGAACTCCAGAAGATACTGGATATCTGCCATGCTTGGGGCGCAATCCTTCTCCTGGACGAGGCCGATGTCTTCTTGGAGAAGCGCAACATGCACGACATCCACCGCAACGCCCTCGTCAGCATCTTCCTCCGACAGCTCGAGTATTTCCAGGGCATCTTGTTTTTGACGACCAACAGGGTTGAGGTAAGGCATTGAACCCAAGAGCCAACGAAGGAAACCAGCAAGGCGAAGTTCACTAAGATTTGTCTGTCAGACGTTCGATGACGCGTTCCAGTCACGCATCCACATCGCGCTGCGGTACGACAACCTTGACCACCGGGCCAAGAAGGCCATCTTCAAGATCTTCATCGAACGGGTGCGGGTGCTCGAGAAGATCAACCTAATGCCTTTTACGGAAGAGGACTACACAGCGCTGGCGCGGCACGAGCTCAACGGGCGGCAGATCAAGAACACGGTGCGCACGGCGCAGGCGCTGGCCGTCAACAAGGGGGAGCCGCTCTCCATGAGCCACATCCGGCAGGTGCTCGATGTGCAAACCAACTTTGAGCGCGACCTCAAGGGCGGCACTGGCTACCAGGATGCCATGAGGAGTTATTTTTGAATGAGTTCCCGGAGTGAGCTGTTGGCTCTCTTCCGTTCAACTGGCGTACTGTCCCTTTTTCCCCCAGGGTTTCTTCTGACACAGCACATTCCAGGGGTATTGGTCTTTCTCGGTTTGGACTGTCTGATTTTTCTGGCACAGCACATTCCGGCCGTTTTTGTGCGTGGTACCACGTTGTTCTTGGTTATGCTTTCAGGTCATCGTCCTTGCGCATGCGATGTCTCATTAGTTCTACATCGCCTTCTCGTCATTTCCTCTTCATTATCACAGGCCATGTGTGTTACGAGTTGCGATGTACATCTCTGGGTTGCAGGATGGAGATAGACGGGACTTGGTTACGGCTGTTGATAAATTCGTAGTAAATCCCAGGGTTCGTTTGTTATCCGCCAGCTCAGTTTTCTTTACTCGAGCTCCCACAAACCGCAATGAGAAATAATGTCAAATGCTTGACGAAACGCTATCGACATATTGGTTAGTAGTTGACCAGGTACAATCATGTTCGGGGTAATAACTTCTGACTGGGACTGTAGCAAAAGTGAAGGCTGGATGATCTTGTAGCTTACACCGCAGCCAGAGATCGAGACACTTGAAGGTGGAGGTCTGCTGCTTCCAGAAGCTTGGACAGTTTGGTGCATGGCATCCTGCAGCTCTCCCGGTGGAGGCCCCACCTACCGCTTCCATTTAGCGCCGCAGATTAATCCGCTATCAGCTTTCGCGTACTATCAGGCAACAGAATGCTAAGGCAGCATCTCATCATCTAGCTCTAAGCATAGCCGACGTCATCCGATCTTAATGGCAGCTAAAACCCGATTTTCTGTTGGCCCATCTGGGACGCCAACAAGACCCGACAATGGACAATGCTAGTGACTAACTGGCACCAAGACGAGACCATCCACTCGCTCGAGGGGTTGGTGCCGTTCCCAATTTTTCCCTCTCCTTCACTCCTCCAAAAGCCTCAACTCCTCACCGACCATCTTGGCCCAGTTTACTGGGCTAGATATCTGCCCTGATCCGGGCCAATACCCTTCGTCCTTGCATTGTCGCGGTCTCAGACGCGGCACTCCCAAATCACAAGGTCGACCTCTTCCGCGCGCAGGACAGCAGGACAGCAGCGGTCAGAATGCCGCGACATACGTCCACGTGGAGCCGGTTCCTCGGATGGGATCGGCACTCCAGGCACGATCATCATGACCGGAACGGGTGGTGGGATGAGTCGAGACAACGTCGTGAGCGGATAAACAATTCAACTAGCACTGTTCTTTGCTCTGACACTACAAGCCCAGTCCTCCCGAGCTACCGCGACGACTCGGTCCAGTCGGCCATCCCCGCCAAAGCCGTCACCGAAGTGGCTCTGCGCATCCGCCACTTGATCGAGGAATGCGTGCCGTGCGAGCTCCAGACGGAGCAGGTGACAGCCCCGCACAGCAAGGTCATCACCTCCAGGGTCATCCAGGCCGCCAAGGAAGCCGGAGGCCGCGAGCACGGAGCCTGCGTTGTGTTCTGCCTCCTGGTCAACAAGCGCTGGTGGCGCCACCAGGCCCAGATTGAGCTCTGGGACGCCGAGCTGCACCAGCTCCGCGCCGTCGCCTGCGAGGTCGTCGCCAAGAAGCTCATCGAGTCCGAGGAGGACGAGGAACGCCTCCTGCACTCAATCCTGCTCAAGCGCTACTCCATCGTGGTCGACGGCCACCCAACCCACCCCGTCAACGTCATCGAGAAGGCCGTCGACCTGCACGCGCTGCGCGTCATTGGATCCTCAGGCTACCAAAAGTGCATCAACCACCTCTGGCGCGGCTGGCTGGTCCAGGACGAGAATGACCCGGCCAACTTTGTCGACTACAAGGACAGGGACAACACGTCCTACTATGCCCACCTGGACCCCGACCGCATGCGTGCCCCCATGTACCAGAACGCCACTCAAATGCTCTTTTCTTTCCTGTACCTCGGCCTTTTTACCATTGCCATGAACACGGTCAATGAAGACAGTCTCTTCGACGTGGTCGAGGTCTTCCTTTACCTCTTCACTTTTGGCTTCATCTGCAATGAAATCACCAAGTTTTGGAAGGCTGGCTATCACATATTCAGTTTTTGGAGCGCCTTCAACGCGATTCTGTACGGCCTGCTTTCCACCAGCTTCGTCTTCCGCTGCATGGCCCTGAGCCACGGGCAGGGCGATCCCGCTCGTCACCACTACAGCACGCTCAGTTACAGCTTCCTCGCTGTCAGCGCCCCCATGTTTTGGGCTCGGCTGCTGCTCTATCTCGACAGCTACCGCTTCTTTGGCGCCATGCTGGTGGTGCTCAAGGTCATGATGAAGGAGTCCATCATATTTTTTGCTCTGCTCGTTGTCATCGTTATTGGTTTCCTCCAAGCCTTTGTCGGCCTCGACTACGCCGATGATCGGGTCATCGAGGACATCTTTTTCATCGTGCAGTCCATGGCTAATGCCGTCATGCAGTCTCCCGACTTTAGCGGCTTTGAGCGGTTTCAGCCGCCGTTTGGCTTGATCCTGTACTACTGCTTCACCTTCGTTGTTATGGTGCGTTTGTCTTCCCTTCCTAGCCCCGGCACGCTTTAACTGACCTAATCTTACTAGGTTGTCCTCCTCAACATTCTCATTGCCCTCTACAACTCGGCCTACGAGGACATCTACGATAATGCCAACGACGAGTATCTCGCCATGTTCGCCCAAAAGACCATGACTTTTGTCCGCGCCCCCGACGAAAACGTCTACATCCCGCCCTTCAACCTCATCGAGCTCTTCGTGACCCTGCTGTTTGAGTGGTGGATGGACAAGAAGACATACGAGCGCATCAACGACATCGTCATGGGCGTCATCTACTCGCCCCTCTTGCTCATCTCGGCCTACTTCGAGGTGCGCTGGGCCCGCGACATCCGCGTGAACCGCGCCCGCGGCGACGCCGACGACGACACGGTCGAGGAGTGGGAGCAGATGCTGGGCCAGGTCGACTTTGAGTTGGACGGCTGGAAGAAGAAGGTCGACGCGGCAAAGAGTAATCTCGAGGTAGAGCCTGCCGTGGCGGAGGTTATGAAGCTGAGGGAGGAGGTGGAGCAGCTCAAGGAGTTGATTGTGTCTTTGCAGAAGACGTTGGGCGAGGCCAACCGAGAAAAGAACGGCAGTTAGCGACGTGCGCAGGTTCCACAGTCTTGTTAATTTGAAGCGGGGCGAGTTACTGGAACCCGGTGGACATGTGGTTCACTTGGGCTTGGCGGCTATTTATTTGAAGCCGGCGTTTGGCGTCATGTAGCAGGCCGGCCAGAACGGGGAGCAAGCACTGACAAACACACCATAATAAAGAATGGACATTTTCTTGAATAAGAACTAGCCACCCTTGGACTTCAATATCCAACCTTTATTCGAACAGCAAGGGAAGAGGTATTCGTGCATGTGCTTGTATTGTACTGCAGGTACACAGGAACTCGAGCCAAACTGGGGCAACGGGTCGGCATCGGAGTCCCCACGGGCCGGTCTCATGTCATGGCAGAAGCGGAAAGAAGTGTATCACATAGAAATTGTAGTACCCCGGTATATGGTTGACTCGCGTCTCCAAGCCCGACCAAGACCGAACAGTTTATCTTCGATGCAAGGGACGTACGTACTTAGTGACATGCCTGAAAAACGTCAAGCAACAATGACATGATGCATATCACAATACAGTCCGATCAATGGAAGCGGTTACATAGCAATAGCCATCCATATCCGCGCCCTTCTGTCCACGAGCGCACCTGTCAAAAGTCCACAGGTAGCCAGCCTCCTGTAACTCCTACCACACCAGCCACCTAACCTTAAACACCAGACCCAAGCAAATTCAGTCCATGGATCCCACCATGGGTGATTCATGCTACAAACACTCCGATTACCCTAACAGATACCCCCACCGATCATCCGACCAGCAAGACAAAAGTAAAAGAGCAGGCAATGAATAAATAATCGTACACGTGCAGCATTCATCGCCATCCCAACCCCCTCGTCTTGTGTTCCCTCCAACTGCTTGCAGGAAGGGCTATGGTACAGAGATTCAGGCGTCTCGGATCGGCGCGCTGCGCAGTATTCTGCGTGGCGAGAAAACAAAGCAAGGGGTATTAACAGGTGCGGAAGGATCGGTAGAAAATGATGGATGACACGGCATTGTGACCTAACTAGGCGCACTGCAGTACGTGTCAACCATCAGATCCACGGATGAATAAGAGGACAAACACAGAAGGAGACTCACACTCCGCCTCCCATAAACGCAGCCAAATCATCAAGCTCAAGCAACTGTCGTTCAAAAGCGGCGCAGAGCTCCATCGCCGTCATGTCGACATCCGGCCCGGGCTGCGGCGCCGGGGGCATGACGCCAACCGACGCCGAAGACACTGCACCGGGCGAGTCCGCCTTGGGTACAACAGGAGCCGGGGGAGGGCTGGCTGTGACAGGCCTCGAGGCACCACCGGCAGAGGCGGCTCCGCCGTTGATTGTAGCGATGCCCGGCCTTCTCGGAACAGGAGGCTCACTGTGGCGGCCCCCCTCCATGCCGGCAGTGAGTGAAGGAGCATGTGGCGCAGGCGGGATGGTCTGCTGGTCGTAGTCCATGTGGTCCGGGTTTGTGTCGGCCTGGCTCATGACATCATCCTTGACAGACGGCGAGACACGGTGGTTCAAGGGCTTGCTGTCTTCGCGGGACTCACGAACAATGTCGCGCGGCGCACTGTTCACCTCGCGCAGAACCTTGGACATCACGGCAAGGTGGCGTTGCCAAGGGAGAACTAGCGGCCAAGACTCGGAGCCGTCCTGGCAAAGCCTCAGGCTGTCGCGGACGATGCTCGAAGCCGATTCAGTCACGTCGGGCGGGGCAAGCCCCTTGAGTGTGAGATAGGCCACGGTCGATCCCGCTGTGAAGGCCGAAAAGAGCATAAAGATGGGGAAGCAGAGAATGCTGTCCTTATCCGCCCCATGCTCAAGCGCCAGGAGAGAGTGGATGATGCTGTGCGACGCGGCGAAAATACGGTCGACGGCCTGCGCGTTGACATGCGGAGACATGCGCCAGGCCTCCATGGTGAAGTTCTCGTCCGTGACGACCTGGAGAATGCGACGGCGGTTCACGAAGATGGTGCCGCAATTGAGGAGCGAATGGATCATGGCATACGTGTAGCCGCTGCCCATGGTGATGTGGAGGTTGATCTGGCCGGGCTTGTCGGCAAAATGCAGCGGCAGCGACTGCTGAATGCGGTCGATCTCTTGCTCGAGGGCCACGCATTGCTCCTCCGAAAACGTCTCGAGGGTTGTTGTGGTCATCATCTCGACAACATTTCGCCAAGCCTTGGTCGCCAACACGATGTGGCCGAACTCGCCAATCTCGCCCAACGGACCGGCAGGGTCTGGCATGGTCGACGGCGGGGCGAGACTCAGTGTGCGGACATAGACCGGGCTCCCAAAGTGGTAGTTCATGTCGAGGCACGGGAGCGACACATCCTTCACATCATGCGACGACAGCGCCGGGTGGCGGCCGGGGCTGCTGGTGAGGAAGCAGTCGAGGATGTAGATCAACCAGAGCGTACGCCGGAACGATTCATCCTGTAGAAACTGGTCGGGATCGGGCTGGTGATGGCGCGTATGGACGATGCGGTACATCTGGGCCATACGGGCGGCTTGGCCGAGATAAATGTAGGCACGCACGGCGTTGCGGCAACCCCATTCATGGATGACCAAGAGGCAGAGGGCCTGGATATCGGCAAGGCCAGGCTGATCCAAGGCATTCATGATTTGGCCAATGGTCTTGCTGCCGAAGTGCTCAGCCGCGGCCGACCCGCCACCATGACCACCATACCGACGGATCATGGCTGGAGAGTGCCTGGAGATCACATCATGTTAGTAACGATGCGCCAAGTCAAGGGGCCAAAAGAATCGGGAGTCTTGGATGGACTCCACGCCAAGCCGTGAGCTCCGGGACCGGTAAGGTCACTCACCGAGCAGCGGTCGTGAGTAGTGCATTGACCATGGCCGGATCCATCGAACTATTTTTCAGTTGCTGCAAGAAAGACGGCTTATGGAAGGCCACACATGCTGGCAGCGTCTTGGAGACGACGCGCTCACATTCTTGAAGTAGCTCCGGTGTAAGTCTGCATCACTGTTAGTCTGGGATTGAATGCCATCATCTGGGACCGACAAATTCCGTTGTCGAAGTTGCGAGCATCTGGTAAAGATAATAAATTGTCATGTATCAGGAGCTCCTGGATGCAACTGAAGTGACCGGTGACTGCTGCACGGAGTTGAGCTCCGAGAGACTTCGGTCGTGGTGCACCAAGGCCAGGATATCGGGCTGAGACGCGACGGGGTGGTGCGCACGGAGCAATTAGGAAAATTGCGCGTGCCGTTTGGGAAATGAGGCCGGGTGGAGAAAATTGGGGCTTGCCCAGACTGCTCCGGAAGCCAGTGCAAAGAAATTGGGGTGCTCGGCGGGTGGAGGCAACCGGAGCGGGCGCAAAAAGGGCAATTGGCAAACGGAGCGCCCGGAAAACGGGGCGAAGAGGAAAAAACACACGCGCGCAGAGCAAAGTCCGTGCAACGCGCGGGATTATGATAATAACAAGTTCTGGGCTCGGTCCAAAAATCACAGGGAAGATTCAAACGGGACTTACTTTTCCGTGGCGGTCGAGATGTGACGCGACACACTGGAGGCGGGAGGCGCCTGACGGTCGCCCGATGCGCTCGAGACAACCCGCTCGCTAGGCAGCGACTCGCGCGCCCTCTGCTGGACGCGTGCCGGCGACACTCCGTGGCCACCGTGGCTCATCGACTCGGAGGGCAGGTAGCATTCATGCATGCCCTTTGCGCAGTTCTTGCACGGCGCTCTGCCGTTCTCATAGACGCACTTAGTCTTGCCCTTGCGACAGCGGACGCAAGCGCCGCCGGCGCGGAGGGCGGTCGATCGCACGATCGACGCCATAGAAAGGGTGGTTTGCTGAATTTGAGGGCAAGAACTGGGCTGTTGGAAACAATACGAGTTCTCCCAAAGAAGCCGTGGTGACAACGCTGAGTTCGAGGCAGGACCGAAGCGCCGGACAATGGATCGACTGAGGGTTCCGGAGCTGCGCCAATGTGGAAAAGCTCGATGGAGACCGATGCAGCACCAAGAAGTTGGTTGATGAGAGGATGTAGTGGAAACCCCGTGCAAGATTCGTCGGTGCGGTGGATGGACACGGTTCACGGAGGGAGGAAAGGAGAAGGGAAGCGGCGCACGGGGCGTGATGGGGTAAAAAAGCCTCGGGCGGACTTGGGGACCTCAAAGAGCGAGGAAGGGAGGCGGCGGCAGCGCTCACCAAAAAAAAAAAGGCCACAGTCGGGCGGATCGGCTGATGGTGCCGGGGTTTTCAGGAAGACGGGGCAGAAAGTGGGGACAGTCGAGGAAGGCGCCAGCAGCACCATCAGTGCAAAATTGCCCTGAGCGTCGGCGCCCACAGCCCGGCGCCCGGGGAGCAAAATAATCCCGATTGAGATGACCCGAGCGGACGTTGATTCCGGCTGCAACAAGTAACAACAAACAAGCCGACGCCTACCCATGTGTTTTTATTCAAGCAGCCTCCAATTTTGGTGTGCTTGCGGGGCTGTGCGCCCTTTTTCTTTCCCGCCTTCTCCTGGCGCGGCCGACACCGAGACACGGATGCCTCAGCCCATCCAAGTCCGGCGCCAACCCGAACTGGCTGCGTCGGGAGGTGGGTTGGCACGGGACGCCGGGCTGGGCAAAAGCCTCGCATTTATTTATTGATGTCTCTCTGTCTGCCTTAAAAAGCAGTGTTCCTCGGCATTTCCGGTTTTCTTACCTCGCCCTGTGCTCTTGCCTCTTTCCCCAAGCGATTGGCACTACAATGACGGACCGACGAGAAAGCCGGTAGCACCCGGCCGGCCGACCGTTTCGTTTGCTTCTGATTTGCAGGCATCGGCGGGAGCGGGAGCGAGCCAGCAGTCTCCCGTGCTTGTGACAACTGATGACGGCTGCAGATGCGGCCATGTTTAAGGCGCACTGGGCGTGTGTGCCGTCGCCAAACTGCCTACCGCCACACCCAGCACGGCGCTTTGGCGTTGGCTCCGTCCGGGCTGAATGCGGATCCGACGCAAGTGCCAAGCTCCACGGCGCGTCCGACCGATCTCGCGCCCGTTTTTTAAAAGATTCGCGGTACAAAAAAATCTCCGCCTTGTTTGCGCCCACGAATCTGGGGGTGCTTTTCGCCCGACTACGATTGCATTTCTTGGAGCAGGAACCGGGACTGCTGAACGCAGACACGGAAGGCGCGCAGGAATGATTGCGACCTCGAATCCATGTGCGGCCGGGTTCCGGTCCGGATCTGTGGAAGCTTGGTGGGACGTCCGATGCCAAAGAAAAAGAAGAAAAAAAAGGAAGCAAGATCCACGGTATACTCTCCAAGATGAACTCAGTAATGTCAATAGTTCCTCCAACTGGTTGACTGTATCCTGAGCTGTCCGGAGGCGGCTGTGCCGCTCAATGGCAAATATTTGTCGCAGCCAAACGGCCCGCGCGCCTCCGGCGTCCAGTTTCACAGCTCCCGAGCTCATAATCCCCGCACGGGGTGCCCCGGCGGCCAAACCTCAGTTTCAACGCTTGACAGGCGAGACAGGCTCTCCTGCCATCCACTTGCCTTTCTACCTTACCATGGAAGGCATTCCAGCGAAACGGACATGTGCTAAAAGCAACCCGTATTGATAACGACTTTTACAGTGCTGAGAGTCTAAGACAACTGCAGGCGCCAGACAGGTAGGTCCAGCCGCCCGAGCTACAGTGAGAGCAACGGTGTCCAATTTCCGGATGCGAAACCCGCCGGTCGCGATTGGAGTCCAAAAAAAGCCTCTGGCGGGGGCAACAATGCAGCCTCGGAAGCCAGAGGCGTGCTAGCATCGAACACACCCGGGCAACTTGCTTCCGTTGGTGCAATCATGCGTCCCCTTGAAACTCCTGCCGGTCGGGACCCTTTGAGAAGGAGAACAACAAGAATTGTTTCATCGCCCCGAGGACCCTGCTGCGGTTCCCTGTCCTCTGCCGTCCACCATCAAGCCACAACACACGGCCGCACCTTAACAATAAAATAACAGCAAAATACCCATCTTTGTGCAGACATTGTCGGGATTGCCCGTTTGGCTCTGTGAGTGACTTACGGATGATGTAGGTAAAGTATACATCGGAGGTTGTTCGTTGGATCACGGGGGCCCAGCGCATCCCTTATTTCGAGGCCCCTCATCGCCGCTTCCGGCGAGAGAAGGGGCTCCGACCGATGGCGTTGCCAGTGGGTCGGTACGCCCAGGTCCACTTCTCCGACAAAGAGGATCTGTGATGGTGCCCGTCATCTGCCGGTAGGTATGGCAGACCGCGGGTGTCCGCTGAAGCGCAGAATAAGCCTGTATATCACGGCGACATTTGGTCTCACAGCGGCCCGACAAGCGCATTCCGGGTTCCGGCAACGGAGGTCCTCGGCTCACTGAAAACCGGACCTTTGATCAGAGCGTGAACACGCTCGATAGCCCGAGGGGTGGGCAATAGCTTTCATCACCCTATTACAACGAATAACACTTTAAGTCTCGCGCCCTTGGACAACAGGATGGTCGTATCAAGGCATAGTGGACTTCTCGCGGCATTGCCTCGAGCCGCCGTCGGCATTGCACGAGTGTCAGAGCCGGGCACATAAATGTACCGGCCTGAGTTGTTCTTGGTGCGACCTCAAGAGTATCACGGTAAGCTAATGAGGACACGACGTCTTATTTACTGTTCAACATCGATACCTGGCTTTGTCGACAGCCTGCAGAGTACATGGATGATGCTTATGTCCCTGGCAGGGTTTCGTCCGTGGACGGAGAAGTGTGTGGTAACTAATCCCGTCCTCGCCGAACCCCGAGGGCCCTCGTCAAACCAGCGTCTCCAGCACGCAGACAACGGAGGCAATGCAGCCTGGAAGCCCGTCTCATTCAGGGATGCTCCCTCATATCACCACCTGCCTCCCTCCCATGCATGATCGTAGCCGCGACCCGGAGCGACGAGTTTGCGGAAGTGAGGCCAGAAGCGAACTGGTCCAGGTCAAGAGGACGGTGTTCTGACCTCGACCGTGCCATCAGCCATTCCAAAATAGGCCGCCACGGGTTTCTGCGCACCACTGGCCAGCTGCAGTCCGTTTTTGCCATAAAACAAGCCTATCTCGGCCACGCCCGGAATCTTGATCAGTGCGTCCGCCAGTGCGTCGACGGTCCACACGCCAGCCGTGCTGTTGCCGGTCTGAGAACCAGCTTCGATGTCCTTCGGTAGCAAGAGCGGCGGAAAGGGCGCGTCAATGATCCACATGCCATTGTCGGTGACGATGGCGCCGGCCTTGCCCGGCAGCCCGGGCCGGATGCGAGGGTTCTGCGAGCCCATCCGCTGCAACTCGCCGAGGACCCTCGGCGCAGCCATGGGCAACACCTCGATGGGAATGCCCTTCTTCCAGGCCATCCCCAAGCGCGTAGAGAGCTTGCGGAAATCGGCGACGCAGACAAACTGCTTGGCGCTGGCCGCCACGATTTTCTCCTGCCACAAGCAAGCGCCGCCACCCTTGATCAGATTCAGGTCGTCGTCCACCTCGTCGGCGCCGTCGAAAGCGACATCCAGCTGCTGGCCGGCGGGCAGCTTGCTGATGTACTGCAGGTTTAGACCGGCAGCTTCGATCAGCTCCTCGGACTGCGAGCCGGTCGGGTAGAAGGCCATCTTGGATGTGACGGCGGAACCGAGCTCAGAAATGGCCTCCACCACGTACACAACGGTGCTGCCGGAGCCGATGCCTATCCTGGTGTACTCGGGGAGCAGGTAGTCCTTGACCGCCTGGAAGGCAGCAAGCCGCTTCGATGTCTCGACCAGCTTCGCCTGCTCCTCTACCGTTGCCGAAGTAGCCATCTTGCGCAAACTTGGCGGTACCGTCAACCTCTGGCGTGTGGTCGATGGGCAGTGGAAGGAGGTGAAGCTCGCCCGGTTGAAGCGGTGCACAGCACCCCGAAGGCGCGGAGATGCGAGTTGTGAATAAAAGCCGACAGCGGAAGGAAAAGACGCAAGGTGGGGTCCACCCGCGGAGATGTTGTTGAGTCTTGTCACTGGTCCTGCGATGCGCTTAATCATGGGATGACAGAACCTCTGTGAGTCGAATTTTATTCGTGACAAACGATACCAGCCGAGTTCGCTGACTCGATACGTGCATGATGCCACAGCTCAATAGGAAGTTGAGAGTTGAAGCGCTGCGAGTACCTCCATCAGAACCTGGAAGCTCAATCTTGAAGCCTGCCCCACATGGTGGGGCAATCTCCCCCTCGATGCCCCACTCACCTGATGGAATCCCGCCATAATCCGTAGGGAACCACAAATTCACTTCAACGGAAGGTACGACGGTGCCGTTGGGTTCTGCAACGTCCCGAGCGTCCCAATTGACAAAGTTCTCATGCTTTTTGCCTTGAGCAACAGAAGACTTTAGCTTCATCTCTCCCAAAACACTTACCATGCCATCATGCATGGTGTACATCAGCATCACAGCGAATTTGGACGCCCTCTATGGTGGTGGAAGCGGCCTCTAACCAATTGGGTCTTCCCGCCTCTTGAGACCACCATTTGGTACCTTAGGTTGTACGCCGCTGTCCAGCATATGCGCAATCCGCAGTGCGGCGGCGCGGCTGGTCGTCGGGCGCTACGGACGGGAGCTATGCTTTGAGAGGTGCCTTGCATCTCAGCTGAAGGTCGGGCAGGTGTACAAAAACGGCCTCGATTTTGTCTGCAGTACCCTGAGCGACCCAAATTCGCATCTTTGACAATTCAGCTGAAAAGGTCTCTAACAACATGGACAATCATTTATATGGAAGAGACAAGAAGGAGCATGACTGCTCTTACGACCCTCTTCCCGCCTTCCACTCATTCCGCACGCTCGAACTCCTCCGCGGCAGCGGCGACGAGGCGCTGCAATGCAACCTCCCCGTTCACGTCCACGAGATGGTGAGTAGGGATCACTTGATCGTGATACCAACGGCCGCCTACGAGATAGTCTCGTATATCTGCGGTAACCCAGAAAAGAGCCACAGTACTAGGGTGAACGGCAAGCGCATGGCCGTTGCGGCGAGCCTGCATGCGGTGCTGTGCCGTCTCCGCCTATCTGACCGTTCCCGCGTGCTATGGGCCGATGACATCTGCATCAACCAGTCCGACGACGCCGAAAAGGCCAAGCAGGTAAGCCAAATGGGGCTCTTCTACAGTCACGCCGAACGCTGCCTGGTATACCTCGGCGAAGAGGCCGACGGCAGCGAACGAATACCAGCTCTGATTGACGCTATTCACAAGTCCCTTGAGGCATCGTCTCTCCCCGCCAAAGCATCAGCCGCATAGACCAGTGATCCCACGGGTTTAGGCCTCGGGAAGACGAGAGCTGGCTTGCGCTGGGCCTGCTGTCCTACGACCGTGGTCGGGACGCTATTGGGTCATCCAGGAAGTGGTCAAGCCCCGCGCCGTCTAACGGGTCTGTGGTGGGTGGACTAAAGACTGGGAGCGCTTTGCCGAAGCGAACCGGGTCGTACAGCATGTTAAGAAGCCTGTCCTCCGCCCGGACGGGGCGCCGGACCACATGCAAGAACGCACCGATGCCCTACGCACCGCCGAGATGTACTTCGTCAACCTCGCCGTGCTGCCTAACGGTTTTATGCGCGAAAAGTGCCTTGTCGTCGGTCGGATGCTGGACGGCTCTACAAAGACCACAACAGTCCCCAGTCACCGCCCGACCTGGTAGTTCATCGACCACCTTGATCGCTGTCGTCGTTCACGGGCGACAGATGAGCGCGACTATATATACGCCATGCTTTGGTCTCTGCGTCGAGGACACCACCAGCCAACTCCAGGTACCAGAGCTCCTCCCAAGTTACACGGAGCCAGCAGTCCACACCTTTACCCGATTTGCCAGACATATGGCGATGTGGTGAGCGGCCATCAAGTTGCCATACAGCGCATCAACGACTCACCAAGTCGGCATCGGGGAGCCTGGCCACGACGATCTGCCCTCGTGGGTGCCCTCCTGGTCGACTCGCGGCGGTCCACTGCACGTGCTCTCGCCACGCACAACGGTGGTGTCAACAAGTACTACTTCGCAGGCCTACCCACCACCTTGACGCCGCAGGCAGAGCTCGTCGTCAATGATAGCGCAGCAGCAGCGGATGGGCTGAGGGTACTGGCGTCATGGTGGGCCGCATCGGGAGGACAGTCGCAGCGGCGCCGGACCCAGGGCGGGTCGATCCACAGCGGTTCACAGTGGTCATGCACCGCGATATGAACACTATAGCCAAGGCAGCCGACGACTTGGTGCGCTTTTTTGCCTCGGACCTGCGTACGAGTCCGCCATGTGTCGAATACGTTTGACTCACCCTCTGCTGTGACGTGAATCTACGGACTGGGCGACCGATTCTGGAAGCTCCGAACGGGGAGGCGGCACGGTCGGGGTTCGATGCCTTCTGCAAACTATGGCCATCCTGGGGATCTTGTTTGGCGACGAGGATCATGGTGGCGAAGATATTAATTGGCTGGGGTGGGGTGACGCCGACCTGGCCGCCCTGGCAACCGAGATGCCGCTTCTCCAGGAACCAGCGTCCGAGTTTGCCATGAAGACGGCTCCCCTCTGTCTCGGCTGTCGCGTGGCTGTGCTTGACGACGTCGGCCAGCACGCCCAGGTACCACGGACCTTGGAGCCTGGCGACGCTGTGTTCACCCCCGCGGGGTCAGCGGTCCCGTCTGTAGTACGGCCGGTCAAAAAGGATGTAGATGGCAGCGGCAAACCTACTTCCGCCTTCTTGGTGAGTGCAATATACAGGGGGAAATGATGGGAGAGATGATGCTCTAAGAAGGGAAGGGGGTGGAAGATGTTATAATTGTTTGACGTAGCAAACCCAACACTTGTTATAGTTAATGACGGCTGTGCTTATTATTTTAGCAGTATGGGTATATAGGTAATCATCAAAGCAAACAATATTACAAGATATCGGCTAATCAAGCTTACCGCCCTCATAAGTTCCCCTACTGTTATACATAAAGCATACGATTCAGTCAATCCTCGCTGAGAAATTGGGAGATTGAGTTGTTGAAACTTTTGGTCTAATCATTGACGAAAACGGAAAATCAGGACCAACAATCAACCTGATCACCTCCGGACCGTGACTAGTAGCGATTGGTCCTTGGCCCCCGCGTAGACACTGCCCTGGTTCTGCCTTGACTCCTCTACACCGCGCTATGAGAGCTTCGCCTGCTAGAGGCAGACGGAATGCTTCTTCCATGGACCGGGCCTCGGCCCTAACCGCAGTGACCCTAGCCACCAACTTCTCCACAGACATCCACCATCCCACCGTTGAACACGAGAATGATCCGAGACTGATGAAACAGAATAGGTGGATGTCCCCTCTTCGAGTTTACGCTCCTAGCGAGGCAGTCAATCACTTCCCATAGTCAATAACGGTATGAGATTCCCTGAAACCTGTCCCACAGGTATCGCTTATATATCATGCTTTGGGGTTTAGTCGCGAAGCAAAACCAAGCCACGAGGGGAGGAAACCAATGTGCAATAGTTGCTGCAGCACCCGGAGTCACTCGCATGGCGGAAGCTGCGTGGAAGACACTGACGTTTCTAAATGTCGCCACTGGCAACCAATTCGGCTACAACGAGCGCGGCGAGGACGATAACGGCGTCGCAAAGAAGGAAGAAGAGGGTGGCTGAAAAGTGCATATTTGCTGGGTTAGAAGATGGGTATTGTAGGCAACCAAAGCGTTGGGAGACAGTACAGTGGTCGAAATTGTAATGTTAGGTTGGGGATATACGATGTCGTCTTGGCTGGAGTGAGGAGTTAGGAATATCTATACTTGATCAAATGTGCTCCTACCTATATATGGGGCAAAGTTGTTTACCTATCTTGCCTACTAATAACCCGAAACCCCATGGTCCGAACCACCGTTGCCCAAATGGTGCAAAGTCGCCGAACGCCATTGAATTTCTCGGTCGGCGGTCATGACAAGGGCACTTTTGTCTCAAACCTAGTCTGCTCCTTGGTTCTGACCGATGCCCGAACATCCTTCAGATCACGAACCGCAAACCATCGGACACAGTGGCATCACCAGGATACGGGCGGGAGCTGGGTAATCCCGTAATTATAGGGCCGTTCAGTTGGCTGCTACTGGTGCTTCACGGCCAGTTGCGTACCACATGACCAATCACCTATAGTACAATTTCCAGTCCAGGTAGCCCCGTGATCTGCGTGAGTATGCGATCAACGGCGGCCAGCTGCAGCATCCAAAATGCCATGTATGCCACAGAACCATAGTGGGTCTGGGAAGATAACTGCGTTGCTCTATGAAGAGGAAAGGAAGCTATGGATGGATGAACCTGAAGCTAAGTGCAATGTGCCACGTGACCTAGGGATCGGCGGTCCAGTGCCGTGACAGTACTCCCCTTCCCAAACCGGTTTGTCCTCAAACCGAAGAAGTAATCCCCATATCATGTGTTCCGTGGCCTCCGTCGCGGCCTTTTTGGCGCGGGAGGTTTCTCAACTCAAGCCGGGGGCCCGGGCTTCTTGGGGTTCAGCTCGTGAAACTGCAGGAGGGCGCGGTCGCAGCCTCTCAAGCATTCTTCGGGTTCCCATGTTGGTTTATCGTGGTATTTCCACTTGATCCGGTAAGTCAGACCATGCTTCTCAATGTCTTCATCGTGAACGTCCAGGATACGCTCGAACTGCCATCTTTCCTCGATATTGCCGTCGTCATCTCGATGAGCGATGCGGCCAGCGATATTACGTCGCTCCGCGGCGTTAAGTCGCGCTTGGCCAGGAATCTGTTCGGGTTGCCAGAGGCGGACTTTCGAAGTATGAAAGCTCTTGTTAACGCGAATGTGATCGGGGAGGTCGATGACAACGGCGCCCCTATAGACTGCCAGCACCGGGAACGGCCATCCCAGTTGTCATCCCACTTCTTCTTAAATCTATTGGTCTTCATGTTTTCCAAGCTCATCATGACCATGTCGTTGACCTTGAACGTTACAGCCTCGTCCCGTTTACTGTTAGCATTGTCCTCATACCGTTGCTGCGAAATCTTGGCCACAGCTTTGAGTTGAGTAAGAATGCGTTCGAATCGTCCGGCAACGGTGTCCGCACGGAGCCATTCCTTCTTGGCGTGGGCTGGGAGTGCGGATGGCACAGGCCCCGCGAGTTCGATGCCGAGGCGCGGGTTGAATCCATAGTTTGCGCAAAACGGCGAAACCCCTGTAGTTTCATTGACTTGGTTGTTGGCAGCGAATTCGGCGAGGGGGAGCCAGTCCACCCAGTCGTCCTGAGTGAAGCTGACGTAACCGCGAAGACACTTGTTCATAGCGGCGTTGATGATCTCCGTCTGGCCGTCTGTCTCGGGGTGAAAAACTGAGCTCGGGCGAAGGGCGACCTTCAGGCGGTGGCTGAGTCGGCGCCAGAAGTCGGAGACAAAGGATGGGCCGCGGTCAGAAATGATGGTCTCTGGAGCGCCATGTAAGCGGTAGACATGGTGCAAGAAGACTTCAACCAGCTCGTCCGTGTCGAGCGAGGTGACTGCGACCAAGTGTCGCATTTTCGTGAGCCTGTCAACTACTGCGAAGATGTAGCGATAAGTCTTGCCGTTGCGCTTGCATTCGGGCAAGTCGACCACGTGGTCTATGGAAATATCCGTCCATGGCCGGGCTGGGAGCTCTAGGGGCTTGAGGAAACCTGGGGGCGCGGAGCGGGGAGTTTTCGTTCGAAAACATAGAGCGCAGTCGCACACGAACGTGGCAGTGAATTGTGAGATCCCGGGCCACCAGTAGGTGCGATTCAGCAAGTCTAGGGTTTTGACTCGGCCCTGGTGGCCTGCTGGGCCGCTGCTGTGAGTCCGGTGTACCATTTCAAGTCGCAGCTCGGGGGCGTCGGGAACGAACAGCCGATTTCGGAAATAGATCAAGCCATCCACGATTGAGCATTCAGACTTGTTGCAACGGAGAATTTTTCGGATCGCCTTAGGCCAGCGGCGCGTAGTGCGATCTTTGTTTCGCTCGCCTCGTTCTCGCAAAGCGGCGAGCATTTGTTGCGTGAGTGAATCTTCGGCGTAGCCCTGGCGGATTAACTCATCAATTGATTTCTGCTCTGGCTCGGGATCCATGGCGGCGACAAACTCCAAGTCGCCTTCCAGGTGAGATGCAACCAGTTGTTCTTCCAGGATGGTCGGGTCGACCTTTTCAGGCGGCAGCATCACTTGCTCGCGGTGTTTCAAGCGCTCGTCGTCAGCGCCGGCGGGCTTCACGCCGGGCAATCTGCTGAGCGCATCAGGAATCGTGGCCTTGGCTCCAGGGCGATAGGTGATGACGAAATTGAACTGAGACAGAAGCTCGGCCCAACGGACTTGCCGCTGGTTCAACTGCTTCGTCGCCATGAAGGTCTGCAGGTTCTTGTGATCCGTGACAATTTTGAAGGCTTCCTCGGTACCTTGCAGCTCTGGACGCCACTCTTCAAGCGCCTTGACGATAGCCAAAAGTTCTTTGTCATAGATCTCGTAGTTGCACTCCGGGGCTGTATATTTGGATGAGAAAAAGGCGACGGGGCGGAGCTTGCCATCATCATCCTTCTGGTAAAGAACTCCGCCGGACGCCCAATTTGAGGCGTCTATCTCGACACTGTCTTCTTGGTGTAGTCATAGTAGGCGAGGACTGGTGCTGTGGAATACGCTGTCTTGAGTTTTTCAAACGCTGCTGCTTGGTCTAGGCCCCAGGTCCAGGCGGCGCCTTTTTTCAAGAGGCGAGTCATCGGCTCGATTACTGATGAGTATCCCTCAATGAAACGTCGGTAAAAATTGGCAAAGCCGAGGAACTGTTGAAGCTCCTTCACCGAGGTCGGGTCCTTCCAGATCTGGATCGCTTCAACTTTATCATGGTCCATCGTCATTCCGTCAGTGGAAATGAGTAGCCCAAGGTGCTTGGTCTTTGTCGTGTAGAATTCCGACTTGTTGATGTCGATCTGCAGGCCTGCCGTGCCTAGGCGTCGGATAATTTCATCAACATGGCGGGTGTGCTCAGCTCGAGTCTTGGAGAAAACAAGGACATCGTCCAGGTAAGCTGTGCAGTAGACATCCAGGGCGTCATGGAGCACATGGTTGATGTAGTTCTGGAACGTAGCTGGTGCGTTGCAGAGGCCGAATGGTGTGACAAGCATCTTGAAAAGGCCGAAACGGGGGATGAACGCCGTGAGCCATTCGTGGCCTTCGGCTACGCGGATGCGATTGAAAGCAGCAATAATGTCAAGTTTAGTGTAGAACTTGGCGCCGCATAGTGCATACAGTGTCTCGCGGATCAGTGGCAATGGGTATCTGTTCTTGATCGTTACCTCATTGAGGCCTCTGTAGTCGTGGCAAATACGCACGC